TGTGTGTGTGTGTGTGTGTGTGTGTGTGTGTGTGTGTGTGTGTGTGTATGATTTTGAATTGAAAATGTCTGAACGGTTCGGTTTTGTTCAATTTGCAAACGAAGTTTTTTTCTTCGGAGTTCAAAGGAACAGAAAAAAAAGATTGAAACCTTTTTCTCAGCGGAAATCGATTTGATTGTTTGAAGCATGCATTTTCTTTGAGTTTTGAATTTTCTTTTTGCCTTCAATTTAAGCGAAAACCCAACAAAAATTAACAAATTTCGTTTTCACATAGGTGCCATCAAAGAGGAAATAACCCATTAGCCAGAGAAGTGAAAGTCGAATGAATTGAAGACGAGAAAGAATAATTCATATACATAGACACAAATCCAAAGGAACACTTTATAATCATCGGTCCAGGGCTAGCGATAAATGTACAGTTTAGAAAAATGTGCGCTTAAATGTGATGTAATATCCATTATTTATGAATCGCAACAATTAACTACGTCATGACCAAGTGTGAGGTAAGTGAAATGAAAATGTATTTCTTTCCATCTGTAGCTGTAATCAAACCGTATGTGTGTTTGCGCGCATGCAAACAATCGTCGTGTATTAATTTTCTCTTCGATTTCGTTTCCATTTTTTCAATCTCGTTTCGCACGTGTGTGAGTTCAGGTGCAAAAATGCACCTGCATAGGCTGAGTATCCAGCAAGAATACACATTAACCCTGGAGGCTATTACGCAGGCAGTACTAATTTTAATTTTGGGAGTCGCCATCATCACATCTAATGCACTTATTATAGCGACGATAATTAATTTCCGAGGTAGGTGTTCAATTCCATTTCGTTTGTTATTCAGGTAAATCGACTTGAAATTATTTACACCTTCGCCATCGTCATCATGAGCAGCGGCGGTGGCGACGACGGCACCAACTCATTGATCGGGAAAATTTGAAGATTTTTGATATGTTGAAGAAAGCACACTGTCGACATAGACCAATTCATTACACAAGATATATGATGAAATTGGGCCGACACAGTTCCATTCGATTCATTTTCAATCATCAATTAATTATTTATTTAAAACAATATTTCACCTGCATTGTCGATCAAATCAGTTGAAGCTAATTGGAAATTTAAAAAAAAGCGAGACTCCCCAGCAACAATGGAAACAAACCCACACATACACATACATACAGACCAAACAGCCGGAAAAAAACATTGTCATAAGGAATATAAGTGCTTGTTCGAAGGCGTATCGAATTGGTGTCGAGCCTGAGAGAATGTGCCGGTTGTGTTGTTGTGAATATTTTATGCAAATTTAAAGCATTTTTCCTCTTCTAATTTCCACTGCGAGCTCTAGTTTACCATTATCATTTGCTCCGTGTATGTGTGCGTGTTTGTATGTTTGAAAAGCCCTCCGACATTGTTTCTATGCGAATCAAATAATGAGTCTGAAATCTCATTTTCGATTCTTCAATACAAAAGCGGTTACGTATGCGACGATTCATTTGCACGAAATCATATGGCCGACACGATACGATACGCATCACACCATTTTCATAATCTACTCAAATTTGCTTTTTCCCATCAAAATGCGGAAAACTCGTGTCGTTTTTCATACGGGCTTTCTCAGTCATTTTCTCTCTCTCTCTCTCTTTCTCTCTTTCTCTCTCTCTCTCTCTCTCTCTCTCTCTATCGCAGCCAGCCAATCGACCAGTCGCACAAAAACCAATATACCGCTCTTTGGTTTGTGTTTCATAGGTTTTTCCATTGTTGATCCATTTGAGTATGCATTTTTAATGATTTCGATAAATCCACTGTCAAAGAGAGCGAGAGCGAGTGCGCAAGAGAGAAGGGGGAAAATTTAAACGAAACAAAAATGATACTGTATGATGCAATGATTGTCAACACACATGTTTACGTTGACATACATTGCCAAGGACTGTTTTAAGGTGTGCAGTTGATACACTTTTCACAATTTTCTTTTTTATGATTTTTCCGAAATGAACTGTTTTGATTTCTTGGGCAGAAAGAACAACAAAAAACGAACCAACTTATATGTCCTAGAACTTGTTGGCACGACTAAATTACACAATCTAAACACAAGCCAAAGTAACAACAATATTGAATGCAGTTAACATTCCCATGGAAATGCAGTTATGATTTTAGCGATAAAATAGAGCGCACTTATTCCGTGCACAAATATGTTGATACATTACGTAGTCAAGCTTTTAAATCCACTCGTAGTTGAGCTCGTTCAACAAGATTTTCAGTTCCATTTTCATTTCCATGTCTTCTTTACATTTTTTATGAAATGTTGTTGATTGGCCTCCGTTTGATATATTGGTTATGGCTTATGGCTGTGTTTGCCTGTGCATGCGTCATTTTCATTGAAAAACGTCACATTCGTTTGATACACAAATAAATCAAAATCAATCAAAATCAATAATGGAACAGGACGCGACAAATTTTTCGGTCGAAATCATTAGCATTTGGGAAACGGTTCCGTGGTGGCTCATCGCTGTACAATGCAATAATGGGGGCTGGTAGAGCGTTAGTGCTTCGATCGTGTTTCCATCTGTCTCTACTTACCGTGATTTATTTTCAAACTGTCAATGGTTTTCTCTCTCCCTCTCTCTCTCTCTCTCGTGCTTGCTTTCTCCATTCGCTTGCAAGCAACTTTTGATGCGTTTTGATGTTTATGTTATAATAAGAATTAATCAATTGACAATTATGATATTAGAGCTCGTTAAATATAAATAGTTGACGTGTGTTAAAAGTGTGACACATAAAAAGGCACAATTCCCATGAGCGTGATAAAGGTTTTGTGACCATATGGCTGGTATCAGTTTACTGCTGCTGCTGTTGCCACTGCCTTCCGTGATAGCTTCGAAAAGGTGGAAAATGGAAATGAACACGTTGAACGTTGCCACTAATAGAGACTATACATTATTTGATAGTACGTAGGAGAGAGTATGAGTGATGGATGAACAGAATAAAGTTCGAGCCACGTCGAACGCGCTAAGACAATGTTTGGTCAATAAATTTGTGCTTCTTCTTCATCGTTACCGTTACCGTTACCGTTGCCGTTGCCGTTGCCGTTGTCGTTGTCGTCATCGACGTCTTTTTCGTTTTTTGATGAAAAGCGGTTTGCTTGCTTTCACATGATTTTCATTCGGTTTTCATTTGGAACCTGATTTCTAATTGGGCTCATTTGATTATTTGATCAATATAGGATTCGTTTTCAGCACACATTGCATAATTCATGCAATCGTGTGCCCGTGCCAATTTGATTAGCAACTCAAGAGAAAATTGTTCAAGTTCACATAATTTAATTCGTATGCATTTCTCTCCTTTTTTCCCCCTCTTTTCATCCTTTCTCTCTCCCTTTTTTCATCCATCGCTGTCGCGTTGCGCAACTTTTGAATTTAGGTCCAACTGAAGTGATCAACTGTTATCTGCTGTCGCTCGCTTGCGTCGATCTACTATGTGGATTGGTGATAGTCCCGTTATCAGTCTATCCGGCTCTGAATGGTAGCTGGATATACGGCGAATTAGCATGCAGATTTGTTGGATATCTCGAAGTGACCTTATGGTCAATAACGGTATACACATTTATGTGGATATCAGTTGATCGTTATCTTGCTGTCCGGAAGCCGTTGCGCTATGAGACGGTTCAAACGAAAACACGGTAAGTAAAATATATTGTTGGTTTAGGCATTCGTATATACATATATACTCCCAGAACTCTCTGTCTCTTTTTCTGATACCCACATGAACAAGTGTTGAAATTGCACGAAATTGCACGAAATTGTAATTTCTTTTTCCCTTTGTTTTTGTTTTATTCTTCTTTTGATCTAAAAAGATGTCAGTGTTGGATGGCGTTTACGTGGATCTCATCGGCAATGCTGTGCTGTCCGCCGCTGCTCGGCTACAGCGAACCCATTTTCGATAAAGAGGCCTACATATGTAAGCTCGATTGGGGCAATATGGCGGCGTACAGTGCCACATTAGCCATACTAGTGCTAGGGCCGAGCGTTATATCAATCGTTCATAATTACGGTTATATATTTATTATGATGCGACGCTTGAAATCTGGTGCTCCGATCCATGACAAAGAGTATGCAACCGCATTGGCTGAAAATCTAGCAAATCCGAGTCATTTGATGTCGTTCGCGTTAGTTTTTTCGTTTTGGGTATCGTGGGCACCATTCATCACCGTTCGCATATACGAGCTCATATTCGACACACCAATCGATATTCCAATGTTGCACTTTGCCATCGTATGGCTGGGCGTAATGAATTCATTTTGGAAAATTCTAATTATGATGAGCATGTCGCCGCAATTTCGTTTGCACTTACGCGTATTTTGCCTCACCATTTGCTGTAAGACGAAGGGACGACTGCAGGCCGAGTTGATTGGACTCGATCCCGACGATTAATTGTCGTTAAACACACACACACACACACAAACTTATACGAAGTTACGTATATGTATGCCTGAACCGAATTTCGAATTATTTACCGAAACAATGTAACATGCGAAACAAAGAGAAAACAAAGTGGAAATAAAAGTGAAATATAAACAGAAAAAAAAGGCACGAAATCAGATACGCAGCAATGACACATATGCTAATATTTCCGAGAAAATAATGAACAATCAAAAAGAGAAAAACACACGAAAATCCAAGAAAAACCAAACGACAAAAAAGGAGCGGTCAAATGAAAATTCGAACATATGCATAAACAAACGAATGCTTTTCAGCATCAAAGACAGTCAAACGCAAACAAACAGCTGGCCAAACAGAATTTCCATGGAATATTTTTCTTTTGAAGAGAAAATGAACGAAAAAAAAAACAGCAACAGTAACAAACGAGAGGCTCGGACACAAAGATACAACGTCAACAACAAATGAATTAAGGCTAGATTTATGTGTGTTTGTTTTATTTTTCCTCTTAATTTTCGTTTTCGAGTAATCAATCAAGCATTTGACTGAATCTTTCGAATTAGAATATTTTTTAGGCTTTGCGATTAAAAGAAGCAAACAGCATCTAAGTTAATTTAAACACATATATATTCTAAATGATAAAATGAAGACAAACCAAAAACACACGCGTTAACGATATTCAACCAAATAACAAATAAACAAGTAACATTCAAAGAAATGAAATTAAAGCTTCAACTGAGAAGTGAAATGCTACTGACAATTTTGTGAATCAGCAAATACAGGAATAGTCTAATTGAACAGTGAGTGAACACACCTACAAATTAGGTACTGATAAACATTTCAACTTAGTTCCACTATTTGCTGTCCCGTGTTACACTTCGAAATCGTATTTAAAACAAAAACACAAGAACGAACCAAAAACAACAACAAAGAAAAACCAAATCAATCGTTTCGTTTTATGTTCAGCAAAATAAATCCATTGTGTGAACACAAATTGTGAACGTTTTTTTGCGAAAGCCGAGCAAATGCATCCCAAAAAAAAACGAAAATCAATCAGCCAACGTACAAGATGCGATTGGTGAAAAGTAGAAAATCGATTTCGATATTGGTAAGAATGCGCGCAGATCAATTCAGTAATAATTCAAGCACTAACACACACGCAAACTAAATACGCAGAATACGCATTATTTTTTCTGTTCTGTTTTGGTATTTTAGTTTCGCTTTCTTATTGTGTTAATAAAAGACTGACAACGATGCAAACTAATTAGAATGTAATTAAAGAAAAACAAATCTAAAACAAAAACCATGGACAGAGATTAGTAATTGTCGATTACAAAACGAAAAGCGTCAAATAGCAGGCCGAAGACGGTGTTTTGGAATGACCGTTCCATCGATAATTGAACGAACAAAACGTCGAAGAAACAAAAGTGTAAAGAGAATGAATTCGAACGAGTTTTCAATTGACTTTATTCAACTAATGCAACTAACTGAACAACAAAAACACACCAAATCGAAAGCATGCTTGTGTGACACAAAAATCATGCTTACTATATTGAACTCCCATTATTTACACCAGCTTATTGTCACCCATTTTACAATTTACATCTAGTAGCGCAATTTTCGACGCTTTTTCTTAAAAATAGACAGAAACAAAAACACGATTCAAAAACCAAATCAACGAACGAACGAACGACGGGAAACAAAACCAAAGATAGGAGAAGAAGAAGAAAAAAAACCGATATGGTTGGTTGAAGTGAAAGACACTCAAAAAGCTACACAAAGATTTAAAGTACAGTTTCAAAACTTATTAAGGCAGAAAAATTGTCGGTCGAAACTTTGTCACATATTCCTTCTCGTTTGTTTTTTGTCCGGGTTTCGAATTCCCCAGATAGTTTTAACGTCAAATACTGAACTTTAAACCAGTCCGCTCTCCCTTTTTTTTCCTCCATCGGTGTGTGTTCAACATAAGCTGCATTTTTTCGGTCCTTCTGCAAAGTAGAAGTGCCAGCATGGCAAAGGGCAAGCGAAAAGTATGCGAAGAAAAAAAAATTGAACGATTTTTTCACTTCCCTCCTCTATCTCTATCTCGTTTCTTGGTAGTTTTACAATACTTCGCCAATTGAAATACAGAAAAAACAACAACATCACAAGAAGATGGTCAAATGTAGTATGCTCTGGACATAGCATAAATAACCAGAGGATAATGAAAAAGAACCATTCGAAAGAGAAAAAAACTGAAAAGACTAACTGGAATAAAATGAGCGTAAACGAATTGAAATCAATTTGAATTTCAAACGCATTTGAATGTGCTCATTTTATTGGAACTGAATCATTCTTCAACAACAGCAGCAAAAAGAGCACAAAGCTTGAATGAGCTTGCAATTCGGAAATGACTTGCATTTTTTGCCCCATTCAATAGCAACAATGAGCATTATATAATGAAATGATAAACCCTCTGGTGAAAGCTAATGTGGAACACTCGCAGTCCTGCTCCCACAGAATAATAACAACAGCAAAAACAGTAACATAAAACTGCATCTCAGTATGAAATTAATAAACAAACAAACAAACAAACCAACAACAACAGCCGAACAAAGAAAAAAATGAAAACACGAAAAAGAGCCAACAATAAATTTCACTTGCAAATATTTAATCGTAAATTATAAATAATTATTATGTAATAGACAACCTCCATCAAGAGTGAGATCGTAGTCAATAAATTAATTTAATCCAAAGTAACTAAAAACAAACAAAATAATAAGAGCAAATTAAGAGAGCCAACGGAGCAGCTGACACAACAACAACAAAAAACACTGATTTAAAAAAATTAAAAAAAAAAAAAAAAATCAAGCATACAATTTTGTGGACCGCAACACCACAAATATAACGTTGAACGAAAACTTATGCACGCATTACTTTTGAATCTAGTTAAAACCAAAAAAAAAAACAAGAAAAAAATTAAAACAAAAAAAAAATGAATAAATTTTGGCCATTCACGAGGACTGTGCATGGTGGCGTGTGGACGCCAGAGAAAAACAACAAGAGCATGAAATGAACTGGATTCGAATTTATTGCAAAACAACCACAACAAAAGCAGAAAAAAAAACGAAAAAAAGCGTTAACATTTAATTTGAATACAAAAAATGTGGTGCCTGCACAAGGGAGACGGTAAACATCATTTGGAAAATTCGAAATTATCTGCTAATTATTATGATGTTTATGAGTTTCACCCAGAGCCACACTCATCATTAAATAACCAATAAATGACAAACAGCAACAGCTGCGACACACACAACAACAACAAAAAAAGGTGAAATTATTATGCATTGTACTGATTTTAAAGTAAAACCAATTGTATAAGTTTTACACAATAATGCATTTAGCATAAACAAATATTTGTAATAGTTTTTATTTTTATTCATTATCGTGACAAGCAAATGCAAAAGACTTAAATGTTGTTAGAAAGAAATTTAATTAAACACTCTGTGCTACTTTGAAATTACAATGGACAAAATGAACAGCAAGAAGAAAAGGAAAGGACGAAAAATGCTGAAAAAATGGCATAAACGAAAAATGAAACGAAACGAAAAAAAAAACAAGATAGGTAAACATCCATTACATCTATATCTTTATAGAGTCAACACATGAACAGAACAAATCGACTATGATAAGTGCGGCGACCAATGAGTCACGCATCACCAATTAATAAGAGTATTCAAATTATCTGGGGACTTCTATCGCACACACTCTCATATTTACAAATTTTGTTTCTTTCGATTTCGTTGTTGTTCATTTTCATTTTCATTTTCATTTCATGTTTGTACGTTCCTTTCGTTTTCACATTAATTAAAACACACCAGCCCATAGTTGTACACGCAAATTGACGGGACTTTATTAATAGTTAGACAGTGTTTAATAAACATACACCTCAAATATTTGGACTGTTGAGCGTGTTTAATCGAATTTAAGTTTAGGAATGTGCTTCATCAGAAATTCATTTTGAATTGGTTGGGAATTTGCTTTGTTGTATTGTTTTTTGTTTCTTTTCTTTTGTTGGTGAAATGCACCAGTTCACATACCATTTGAACCCCATTCAATTGCTATGTCATAATGCGACATTCCTTTAGCCTGCAACACAATCTATTCGAACTATAAGACAAGATTAATGTCAGACATAAGTCAGATGGTAGATAATCGTTGAGGATGTTTTATTAACGTTTTTTTTTACTCTGACTTCATTTGCAATTGCTGCCCCATTCAATTTTAATGAGCAATCAAATGTCATTTTCAATATTTTGTTCATTTGTGGCTAATTGTACAGCAGAAGAAACCGAAACATGGGTGAACTTTCTTCTGAAAATGAGTTGTCTACGATCCAAAATCCAAACGGCGAATTTTCAAAAAGTTCTCGAGCAATTGCTAAAAAAACCTTCAAACATGTCAGCATTATTCAAAATGGGTGACTCTGATTGACAATCACACACACACAAGCGCTCACTCACTCCCATTCGAGACATATGTTTAGGTTCTGCTAGCAACAAATGTAACTATAAAATTATTTGCGCTAAAATTTAACGACGCAACCATAAAAGTCGACATAAGTTGGTTTTGCATTGTATGGCATTAACATTTAGTATTTTAGTTATTGTTACGCTTGATTGGCCCTTCGATTTTCTTTTCATTTTTTGTTGCTTTGTCAAGTGCTTCAATGAACAGGTTTTATATATTTTTTCGGTCGTTCACACATGGTGCGATGCACGAAAGGAAATAAACACACATACGATCTTTGTTGGATTACAATAAATTGGAAAACGGTGAAACAAACCGTATGCCGTTTAATATTATGCACGCAACCACCATTTCCTACACATATTTTTTCGGCTTAACGTTTGATGTGCTTTTGAGTGTGTAGATTTTTTTGTTCGGGTTCTCAAAATGTATCATACATTAAACTATTGATTCAATGTTCCTTATGAGCTGCTTTTCGATTTATCAGCACGCAAACATACACGCACGGAGACACCATATGATGCAGCCTCTCAAACACTCTCGAAACCAGAGAAAGAAAAGAGCGATAAGCGGTGGTTGTCATAAATCAATTATTCGATATTCGTTTCCGCGAGAAAACGTTCAAGAATATGTATATAAATTTATATATATCCATGTGAATTCAATTTGTGTTTGTGTGTGTTTTTATGGATCGTTGATGCGATAGTATAGCGTCAGCAACAATCACCCGGATAGTAGCCGAAGTGGCTGTATGTTCCTTTTTTTTGGTTCAAGAATAAGAGGATGTCTGAGAATACGTTCAAAGGAAAGGAAAGAAAAAGTAGATGACTCAATGGTGCTTTGTTCAATGAACAGGATCGCCACAACAATGCCGAATAAGTAAAATGCTCTCATGTATTTTCATGTACATTTTCATGGTTAGTGGCACGAAAAAAGAAATCAGAAAATCACGATTACTTCATCGGTAAATGAAATTCCACGGCGCCAACTGAGTATGTGTGTATTGTAAATGCGTGTTTATGGAAATGAACTACGAAAAAGAAAGAAAGAAACAACATTATAGAAGGAAATTCCCTTCGCATGCGAGAATTCAATGAGGGGGCTTCTATTTTTCGGTTTTTTTTCTTCGTTGGACATCTCTCACAATAATAGAACATAATTAAATGGAGTATTTTTGCACATGGATATTTCACTCTTAATTTGTTCGATATACACTATTTTTCTACTTCGACACACTCACACACCGAAGGCCGAATCCAAAGACGAAAAATTTCAGTTTTATTTCATTTTATGCAAACGTCAATTAGTCACGACTCATGATGGTTATCTGCATTTCATTGAGAAATACATATAATTCTATGTCAAAGTCACAGGTGAAATTGACTGTTGTACATACAGAGAAATAAAAGGATTAGGAATTATATAGCCTGGATGCTGCTTCATTGAAATGCAGATAACTTGTACAAAACGTGCAGCTTTTGTCACGTTTTTCCAATTTTTATGATTTAAAGCAAAACATTCATTTGGCGTGGATATATATAAAATGCAAATAGTCTGTGCATGTACATACGCTGCGTGAATAACACCGTATTCAATGAAGGATGTGAACAACTAAAAGTGAACACACACACAAACACAAACACACACCTTAAAAAAATATATATTGCTAAACTTAGAATAAAGAGACAAAACTAAAAATGAAGTAATAAACAAATTGTATAATTATATGTGAGTTTCCACAGGGCCTATAAATCCAAACACACCATAAATCCAACATTTATAATGTTAGGATTGAACGAAGCCATAAGCATTTAAGTAATTGGATTTTCAGTTAGATTTTTTTTTCCTTTGTGTGACACACACACACTTCGTTGTCTTTGGTCTCGTTGAAAAACCAGAACCAAAAAATTCATTTTTTGTTCTTAAACAATCTACAACTATACAAATCGATAGATAAATTCCAACTTCATTTTCAATTTTTCGATTGTGAGAACATTTAAGCAAAAAAAAAAACGAATATTGGGGCAAACCAAAAGAACAACCGAGAAAAAAACACAAAATTATTAACTTCTCTAAGAGTTAAGTAGTTATTAGATATGAATGTGATGAAGGTATTTTTTTTTGTCGATATAAGTAAATTTTAAAAAAAACATGCGTAGCACACAATTTCTCATTATAATTCAAACATTTTCCAAAAATATAATCCGAATCGATGATGATGAGAATTCGATAGCTACAACTGAACGCATGAAAGACAAAATTGATTTTTTTATTTTTTTTCTCGCTGTGAATATCGATCGGGTCCCGCAACTCGCACGGATCTGATTCCATTTCAAACATTCATCAACACATTTAATCGACGAAATTCTTCGTTTTTCTTTTCTGCCATGAAGTTATTGATATTTGATAATTTCAAACACACGCAAACACAATATAAAAATGGTAGTGATTGTAAAACAAAGTCAAATGCATGCTATCAATAAATCTTCTTTCACAACTACTTATGCCGTAAATTTACATTTGGCCATTTTGGTGTTTGACCATTAAAGATGACACAGACGCATTCAAAACACAATCGCCGTCAGTAAATAATCAATGAAAAATGATTCAGTACCATTTTGAATCGAATTATTGACTCTGCTTATTTTCACAATTTCGTCTTACATCTAATGGACAGAATAACCAATTGATTGAAGCCGCCAAAAATATAAATAAATTCGCTAATTTATATGTATTACTCTAATGTATTTTTAAACAGAATAAAAACCATTTTCAATGTCTATTTACTATTATGTACGCTCGTATTCGCCTAACTGTTAGTTAAAAACTTAAAAAAAACACTCACACACACATATATATATATATGAAGTGACGTCAGTGTTATAAATATATGAAGAAAATGACTAATAATTTCGCGTAGAATTTAATTTGTATCTTTTTAATGGATAACAAACGACTACATCTAATGCTTCGATCGGTTTTAAACTCTCAACTTTTAACTTCTACTTAAAAAAAAGCAAATCTATGAACAACTAAAAAAAAATCACCGAAAAAAATGAAACAAATTAAACAACAACAACAAAAAACACAAAAAATCGATAGAGATCAAGTCAAATTAATACACACACAGAAAGAGACAGGCAAAACCAGAATAAAGCAGAATTAGAAATTACACTGATGATGACGATAATGATTGCACATTTTATGAACATCATCATGAATAAATGTAAGACAAAGTGAAAAATGAGAATCAATCACAGAACACGACGTAAGGATCTGTGATAAGAATAATATACTATATGACATTAATATATTATTCAAAGTAAACACCAACAAAACAATTTAGATATATGAACAATTATGATTATTTTTTATCTTAAGTTATCGATATACAACCAATAGAAAAATCGAGATGTGAAAAACAAAGGCTCATTCGTGTCAACTTGATTTAAAGAAAAAACAAACAAACAAACCAATTAAATTTCCTCTTGTTACTGTCAACACACACACTTTCTGGCCCAAGCACATTTTGACCATCCGCTGTGGTGGATGTGTGACCGTTTTCCTGAGCAAATCGGACCGTTTTTTCCAAATCAGTTATTTCAAGACAAAAACAAAGAATATTTATAGAGAAAACAACGAAAAACTCTACATTCTGTTAATGGCATTCAAACTAAATCTTGTTTCCACGACAAGACAATCTCAACTTTTGCGGAAGTGCTTTTAATTTCAAAAGAAAAGAGAAGATTCGAAAGATTTCTTTCCGTGTATGCAACTAACGCGCTCCTTTCTACCGAACAACATAAGATAATTAATGGGCAACTTATAGCGCATGATTGTAAGGACAATTCAAGTGAAAGATTGCATTTTCATTTTCACAGAGAAACAAAAGGAGCAAATCAGACACACAGAAAAAACTTGAAACCGGCTCTATTAATAGTTAACTATTAATAGGTGCCAATTGTTGTTCGCATGGGTTGTTTTTAAAATCGTCCTTAGAACATTTTACTCGTCCTTTTTAAGACATTTTTTACAATCCATAATTATCTTCTGCAAAAACAAGAACAGCAAATTAAAAATTTCTCCATAGACATTGTATGGAAATTCTCCTTTCTTCTAATTAGGTTCCTTCTGATTGTCGAAACAGCGACAACAACAACAACAACAACAACAACAAGAGATCAATGAAACACTAACAAAACATTTGGTTTTTGTTTTCATTTTTGAAATAAAACCAATTACGAGTAGATTTAAAGAGATAAATAAACAAATGGAGAAACAATGGACAATTAGAAAATATGCATTTAAACAAAATCATACATAATAAAATGAGCTTAATCATTTTTCTAGTGTATAAAATTATATTTGACAAATACGGGAAATGTGAAACCAGACAAAGCTAAAAGTTGAAATTTGTCTTTGTTGTGAATAAACCAAACTGACAGAGAAGGAAAGGACAACAACAACATAGAACAAAAGAACCGCGAGACAAACGGAATGTTAGAAAAGATTTATTGATATTTTCAAACCGATATATAATGCAATCGCATAAGCACTAATGTGTTTTTTTAGAGACAAACCAAGCATAAACAAATGAAATTAATAAATTTATTCGATAATATTCGACGGTGATGAAACTATACAATTTACGCCAAGAAACATTATTTACATAGGCAATGCAATTCAATTCATTTAATATTTAATTTGGATTTACTTACACTACTTTAATACGCTCTCGTGTATTTAAATTAAGAGGAAATAACAAGAAAAACAACAAGAACAACAACAGCAACAAAAGTGAATCACATCAACCAAAGAAAGCGTTTTAGTCATAATAAAATAGTTTCGATCGAATCGAACAACCGCATCAACACCTCAATTGGATCACAGACCTCTAAAAACCACCACCATTCCCAAAAACCCCAGTCAAACACTCAGTCAGACAGACAAAACGAACAAAGCAACAATTTAAAACCAATTTCACATATTGAAATGTAGGCAATAGCTAAATGCATTTTCATGAAGTAGTCATATTTGTGACCGCTAGCGGATCTTCATGTACAGTAATAAAACTATTATAGAGTAAATATTATCCAACAGTTTGAATTTAAATGTGAAAGAAAACAAAAATTTAACAAAAAAAAACCAACAAGTATTTAAAAACAAAAAAACTAATTACTTATTTAAACCAATACAAAAAAAACATGAAAATTTCGTCTGCAAAACTGTACTAAACAATCCAAGTAAGCAAATCTTAGCAAATTTGGTTGTAATTGTATTGTAACCACCAAAGAGAAAGTTATACAACACTATCACAACAACAACTAAAAAACAACATAAAAAAAGGTACCTATAGATTTGCATCGTAGATGAATTTCATCTATGTGCAAACACAAAATGAGTCGTGTATTATATTTATTATTTAAAATAAAATGAAAAATAACGAAATACAATTGAAAATAATTACAAAAAAAAGGTTAAAAAAAAACAGACACAGATTTGTAGACACGCTTTCGAAATGACTTGAATAAAAATTTAAAAAACAGACTCGTTTTTATTTCTCTCTTGCTATTGGTTTTCAGCTATTTCAATTGGTGTCAGCTTGAATACAGGTGCTTTTCTTCAACGTAAGAATACAGGTGTGACTTTTCTTCTAAAAAAAAGAAAATGGAGAAGAAAATACACAATACTTCATATATCACACTCTTGCAGTCTACGATTCATCATGCATGATATGAAAATCTGAAAAATCATTGCTTTTTCATTGGATTCAAAGTGATTCTCTTCATTGATGTTTGCAAAATGTGAAATTCTATTGTGGTGCAAAGAGAAGACTCGCGCATTTACTCTATCGACCTCGCCTTTTTTTTCCCTCATTTGTAGGTAAACCAATGGAGCTATCCATTTATGTTAGCTTCCGTCGAAAGCTCAGCACAAATCATGCAAAAGCTATACACACGTTGGAAAATGTGAGGGCTTCCATGTGCTCAAAGCTCACATACGATAGCTTGTTATTTGAACGAACAAATCAACGAATACATACAAAAGAATATTGCTCCGTTTTTTTTTCAAATGAAATATTATTCTATTTTCTATGCGATTTGAAATGAACGGAAATTCAAAATTACGATTTTAAAGGTCATGGAAAAAATTTGGAAAAAAGGACAAATTGAGTCAGAAACTTTTGAATAAAGTATACTATGATGCTTTGTGTAGACTGATTTGGACGAGAATTTCTAACCTCTTTCGCACTACCTCGACATAGCCACGATATACATGCAGCCAATTCTTGTGTTCATCTATTTTAGGACGTTCTGATCGTAAAACGAAGCAAAAATTCGCATCACAAATTGAATTTTAAGCTTTATAAAATCGCTCAAAGTAATTTCCACCAAAATGATTGTGAACGTTCGAAACCACATGCACTCTACTCCAACTTAAAATATTCATTTAATGCCATATTTATCGGTAAAATCGTTGCTACCTGCGAAAAAAAATTAATTCCACTGAAAAAAAAACGCTTCATTTCAGTGCGAATGGATCTGAGAGTGAGAGCTCATAAAAATCATTAAATGAATGCTGTGGATTTTTTTCCCGTTAAAAACCTGATTCAGTTGAATTATTCACACGTAAACAATATAAAAATAATAATAATGAAAAATAATGTTATTGGTGGGGTGCTGGTGCATATTTTTTCCCGGCAAGTCTTATTGCAGCACCCGTGTAAATATTTAACACGATAGAGAGAAAGAGAGTGAGAGAGAGAGAATGGGAGAAACGATTGCGTTCCATCCTCGTATCAACACATCATGCGAGTATCCATTTTTCAGTATGCCGAAATGCCGCAATGAATAAATGAATAATGTGACAACGAGCAGGCCGGAAAACACATGTAGTCATAAAGTTGAAATTGAACAAACAAATTGCTACAATTCAATAATCCACATAATATGGGGTGGACCGTATGTGGTGGACCTGCTATAGCAGCCATGCATCGCACGATATTGCACACACAAAGCAAGCAAATGTGAAATAAAATATAACTGAAAATGGAAATAAATGAGGTAAAATGTGTTCAATTGTGTGCGATGTGTGCTCATCATTTGCAACACATCGATTGCACTACGAAATTTTATCAATTGACACACATTCGATATGAACTCACCGTCAATTCGATCAATTTTAAACAATTCCCGATTCGCATATGATATGGTGCATATTTGTACATATATCGAATTGTGTGTGTGCATATACGGTATAAAATAAATCGTGGTAATCGATTGATTTCAGTGGTTGTCATAAAGTGGTCGCGTTTTCTTGTGAGATCTGCTGCGGCGACTGGTGTCGACAATGGCCACAATAAAATCGGATAAAAGAAAATGTGTGCATTGTCGCATGCAAACCTAGCGACGGTACAATCATTCTTATTTATTAGAAAGAGACATTGGATCCGCACTAAGACTGGTGAGCGCGTGTGCGAGTGTCTTCAATTCGCTCAGTTTTACCAGGCAATCATAATTTTATTAAAACACAATGCAAAAATACACATGCACAAAATGTTTCAATGTTTCACATTCGGCTGGGCTGGCCTAGTTCTCTGTCTCTCTCTCTCTATCTCGCTTACATTCTCACTTCGAATTGCTTGGGCATATGATGCGTCGGTGTGTACACATTTGGTGAGCATGTGTATATCGGTACGTTGTCGCGCCATACGCTCAATCATCCATTAACGAGTGTGCTCGACTCACAAGAGCCAACGAACGACACCGAAACACGCTCCAACGCATTCAACAACGCAGTCATGAGAAAATTTCTTGTGATTCGTTCACTTCACAGCACCTATGCAAGCGAAGTTGTGGCACAGTATCAATGCCACTTCATAAATAGACACAGTTGAGCTTTCAACAGGGTGATTTCAATGCAAACCATTCAACAGTAATTATTTTCAAATTGAAATTTATTTTCGGCGAAAAGTGTTGCGTTCACTCAATGTCGCATTAAAATGTCGATTTGAATTTATCGACTCGCGAATATTGGATCTGTTGATTTGCGAAGCACCCGTTTTATAGTTCAAATACTGTGCGACTGTGAGGAGCTAGTTGCCTTGATAATATATGAGAAAGCAATGAGTGGGGTCAAAATAATTTATTGAAGTACACATTGTGAATGTCGTGGACGAACAAATGATCTTCAACCGGTTCACTTGTATCAGGCTCGCATGAATTTTTGGAGACCGTTTCCACTGCACCATCGAATACACTATCCAATGCCACTAGTCTCTCTCTCTCTCTCACACTCGTCATAACGCATACGTAACACGTTGAAGCGATTGGCGTTTGGCTGTTGCTATGTGCATGTGTATTGTGACGACCGAGCATTTCTTTCGTATTCACCTCACTCCACGCGGGCTGGCTGTGTGCGTGTGTGTATCGGTATACATTGGAATGATATTTACAAAGCATGTGCAAACAAGCACACAGTGACGAACGCTCCAATAGCCAAGCGTCAGAGTCATATCGCATTCAAACATATAAAGTAATAACGCTATGTACTGTGTTCACGTTCTCCGCTCGCATGCGAGCCACGTAACACACCGCGTATCATTTGCTATGATGTTGGAATAGTACATTTGATGCGAATACGGTTGCTTTTAAACTCATCAATCGACTGAAACTTTGCTGATAGTTGCGATTTTATGGGCATACACACGAAAAAAAACAACGCTCGAAAATCAACGAAAAAAAAACCACAGCAAAAAAACGCAAAACAACACGAAATGCAACTAAATTCACCAACGATAAATGCTCTCGACTGTATATTGTTCGCATTGTGTGCTATATGCGTTATTTAACTTAGTCATTTGCAATTAGGTTTTCGTTAGGTGAACAAATGTGCCGATTATTCTGTGAACCTGTTGAAAATTAGAAAGAAACGTACAAATCAGTGCTTCGTTTTATTGAAGACATCATCAGCTTTTCACTTCCGACAATTTCACCCATTGATACTTTTACAGCAATGAATGCAATGAAATAGACAATGGTCCCAAGCCGAAAGATGGTTGCATCAAATTGGAAAAGTGTTTCGTGTTTCGTGCCGTTCGTTCTTGTTTTCGGGCGAACAGAGAGTGAGTGAGTGAGTGAGTGAGTGAGAGAGAGAGAGAGAGAGAGAGAATGGTTACCCTGGCATCGAATAAGATAGCAATGTAGAATTGTAATTGTGAATATAGTGATGTTGCAATAGTTTCTAGCAGTGTATATGATGTCCTGTTAATAAAAAAACGATATGCCGATTTTCCGAGCAGTTGCTAGTGACGCACTCCTTTCGATTATCAATAGATGGAACCATCTGAGAGATAGAGCGAGAGAGTGAAATAAGTTCAGTTTTCATAGAACTTGGCGGCCATACAATGCACAAAATATCACGGGATTATCGGATGTGGAACGGTCCATCGTTTCAATGTCTCTTTGGATTCGCAGCGAATTGCACTATTTTTAGTTGTTTTTGTTGATGGTTTTCAATCTGGAGAATTTCAAACTGGGTATTTTAGTTTTGAGCAAGTTTTTATCGTAGCGAAGTTGTGCAGGTCAATTTCTTGAATAAATACCAGGCGCACAGAATTTCAATACGCTATGAAAACCCCACTTCACAATTCAAACGCTCGTTTCGTTCGATCACACACAATCCCATTCCGTTGGGAATGACGTCGAATTATGGAATTCTTTATTTGAATTTGTGGTCTCCTCATCTTTGCTACAAATGAAATAAGTTTTACATTTTTATGCGATTCCAGTGCGTTAGTTACACTGACAAATGGCCGATGTCTAATCGCGGCCGCTTTCCGTTGTATGTGTGTATATGTGCTGGTGGGTCTGTGTATGCTGTCTAAATGATGGAAAAGGAGCATTGAACAGATGCTTATCGAACTAGTCCAGAAATAAAAATGTTTCTTGTGATTTTTTTCTTATTTATGATAGCCTGCTCGTTTCGCTGTTACAACTTCCCCACATTTGCCTTGACTTGAAAAAAAGTATTTATTTTTTATTTTTTATTTTTTTTTTTTTGCTTTGTGACAGAAAATTTCAAAGAATCGAACCGAGTGCCAAAACATATGATTCGTGGATTTGAATGTCGTATACTGGCTGTTTCGTTCAGTGTTCAATCGTTGCAACGATTCAAATATTGTATTTTAGACTAGAAATCGTTGGTGTATTTGTAACCGGCGTTCAGAATACCGCAGCAGCCAATCGTTATTGTGAAGCGCGCGGTGCACGTATTGTAAGTACTTCCGATGCATTTGGGTATGTAGAGAGTGGTGTGAGCAGCACAGATAGAGAGAGACGAATCGATGTGACCGTCACGTACTTACCGAAATCAACAGAGAATACTGTGATAGAACGGCAGCGGCATTGTCGTACGATTCCGTACTTTATTTACTTTGCTGTTTGCGCTTGCTCACATGAATCTTCACATTTCGGTTTCGATTCACGCGATGCTACACATTTTCCAAGTATTGATACTTTATCGTATCAGCTATTTTCTCCACACAGATTTCGTGTGCGTTGTGTTCGAACGAAACCAAATTTATGCTTTTCGCCTACAAAAACCAATCACTTGCTGTACCAATGAATAACGAATGGTTTTTTCCTTTCGTTCGTTCGGCTTTAACTCGAACTTCGGAATATTGCCATTTTCCATTTGAATTGCTTGCTCGCTTTTCAATATCCAATACCGATTGGCGATAATCGATTTTATAGGAAATGATTCGAAGAGCCATCGACTCGTTCGATTTCTACCAGGCAAACAGAATTTTCGAGCCAAATAAGCAAGTGATCGATTTACCTTTCCACTTTTCGTTCATCATTCTATATGGCGCGCCACACGAATACATACTCCACACCAGCCGCCCAATGTTATTGAACTTTTTCAGATAGACATGCTGTCGATGCAAGCACACACGAAAAGTCTCTCGCTCACGCTCTCTCTCTCCGGCACACATTTCAGAAGCTCAAAGCACAAAAGCGCACATCAACATCCATAGCCAATTAAAATCAATATTAGATTTTACATTTTGTACAATTTGATCAGATTCTTGGTTTTACCGTAGAAAAGAACTTTCATATTTTGCTAACGATTCAAAATCATATTCGTTCAGTTCTGATTGCACGGTAAAAATAAAGAGAACAAGCAAAACAATCAATCAATAATTTCTCTGGGTGTGCGCTTATTCAACGATTCAAATTGATGATGATGAAAAAACGGAATGCGAACAATTTATTGAACGCTGAACAAAAGCTACGCATTTGTTTCTGTGCTCCGGGTATGAGAGATAGTTAAAAGTGTAAACGAGATTCCAAACCGAATGTGAAATGGAATTCTTCAAATATTTTTCGTTGACTGAGCACACATCTTTGCGTTCGCGTCACCCATTTTACACTTCATTCCGATCGAGGTTCTTTTTTCCAATGGGAATTCGATTCGAAATTCAACGGCACAAACGTGCGATAGAATTTCTGTGGCTGTAAAAAAATTCTCATGCATCGGAATATATTTACCATGGAGAGAAATTTTGTTTTTGTTTTTTTTTTCATTTGTGGCGAATTTTCGAGATGTTTGCATTAAAAATGTCTGAAAACGGTTTTTCCACCAAGCACTCAGAAGCGCTGAAACAACATGCATTGTGTACGTTCGATGATGCATTGCCATATAGCTCACAGCAACCAAACCAAACCAATGCCACTTCAATTGCACACGAAGATGTACGGTATTTCTGTCACGCAGCCAAAACATCAAGTGGTTGACGCGTGTGTGCATGCGTGCGTGCGTTCGGTTCGTTCACTGCTCTTTTTGTCCCTTCTTTCTATTCACGATTTTTTTTTCATCCGATACATTGGGAAAAAAAAAGCTGTGAAAAATACATATATGCTTGCTGATTCATCAAGCGTTAATATATTATATATTACATTTAAATGAATGCACAATATACATGCTATTCGTTACATTTAGTTATTGGATTGAAATTAATTCATAAATTCAAATGCAGATTTTATGTTGCCCTAGTATTTTATATAAATATTATTAATGTTAATAATTTAATGGTGAACATGGGATTCGGGTCGAAATTGGTGGATTTCCAACGAAAATGTATGTGCAGCTTAGTTCGGTGGACACATCGTTGTTGAGCGTAATTTCGCTTGAATATTGTAATAAAAAGCATTTTTTTTTTCAATTGGTTTACAACAATAATATTTATCATTTTCTTTTTTCGGATGGAAATTCCGTTGACCTTGAAATGTGAGCTGAAGGCTCAGGTGAAATGTGAGTACTTTACACTTTTATTGTTTTGTCATTCAAACGGTAGCGAAGATGAGAGAAGGCGTCGTTTTGCAGTCAACATGTGACACTCGAATTTTATCGAAACAAAACGAAGGCATGTTATTACGACCATTGAACTAAAATACGTCGTTTGAAATTCGTTGGTGGTTTTGGTCTGAATTAATTTTTATTTTCAGCCATTTGAATCATCTATGTGTTTGTTGCTTTGTTATATTTTTACGCACCTTTTTATTTCTGACCAAAGAAAAAGATGCTCTGAAAATAAAACAAGAGTCATTCTGAGAGGGAGAGAGAAAAAGAAAACGAACTCTTGTTATTTATGAAAAATCACTTGACACCAAAGAAAATTGCGACGTAATACAGGCAAAGATGCTGACAATTTGACACACTCATTGGGATGAATCGAAGTGATGGGTTGGATAGAGCGTGTGTAAGAAATGAATAGGCGGATAAAAATAGCTCAAAATGAAAATAATGGAAAAATATTTGGCGGTGATGACTAATGGTGATTATGAAAATAGACTGTTTGGATCATATTTTACGCTTTTTTCAAACAACACCAACTTGCGCGTTGATCGTAAATTTCATTGTGTTCACCGTAGTGTTGTTTTTGTTCTATTTTGTTTGGTTTGGTCTTCGATTTCGTGTGTTTGGAATTTTGCGCGCCTAGGAAACAATTGGTGTTGTTTATATCATTGGATTTGCGAATTGAAGCGATTATGGGCACAGTTGGAACAAACAAACGAGTACAATTTGCACGTACAATCTATTTCAGCCCCCGGAAAATTCTTAGAACACACAGCAAAAAATAACAACAAAATTCGTATCCAGCCAGCCAGCCAACCAGCCAGCCAGTTGATTTTGTATCTCGAACATTCCATACTACTCCTGTCGGATTTCAAATGTGGAACATGACATGGTTTCAGTGATTAAGCAATTTTCATGTGAAACAGAGAAAGATGATGAATCAACTAAGGTGAGCGCACACCGAAGTCCTTCGACAACGAACTGAGCGATTCGAGTGAGCGCGCGCGTTCGTGAATAATGATGCTACGCTCGTGATGACGCCTTTGAACCGAGAAAAACGACAGAGCGGACATACGATATGTTGACGAAATAAAGAGAGCGCGAGTCGCAAAAGTAAAATATCAATAAACACCAGCGTGAGCAATAACGGTTTCTGTATATTTTTTTTTGTTTCAAATTTTATGAAGAAATCGTGCTGAGCGTTTATATTCGGTTTTCATTAAATGCCTCCTGTAGCACAAACGCGTCCACAGACACACGCACACCGACTCACACACGTGTACGGCCACACTTGGCGGAAAATCCGTATTTAGCTTGTATAAAAATCAATGGTCGCAACTCAAGTCAGGTATTCTGCCACGATCATTCATCCTTATTAAGTCGACGATATCGGACAATCGCCGCTTCCGTTACACATTTTTTTCATTGCAAAAAGTGAAGTGATTTTTCCAAAATTTAAGTGCTTTGCAAGCATTAAGTGAACATTTTTCCTAGTTTTTTCCGTGTTTAAAAAGAAGAATCAATCAAAATGCCTGGCCGTCCATTGTGGCAAGTAGGTGTTGCATGTTTTTTTTTTCAACTTCAATTTTCTTAAATCTAGTTTAGTTGTTAATGCAAGTAATGATGTTATTCCTTCGAATTCGTTTGAAAGTGTTGTTGAATCAATTGAATTCCAAATGATTGTTGTTTTGATTGGCATTCCAGGCATTTTATCACAGAAAATCATTTTCCGCGCTCAGGGTTTTTCACTTGAATTAAGCCCGAATGTAGGCAAATGCATTGTGAAAGCATCAGAACGCCAATGCTGGAGCGTAGAAGAACCGAAAAACACAATAATTTTGCGGTTGATTAACATTTTTGCGAAATAAGATCAATATCATTTGAAATTTAAAGAAAAAAAAAACACTTCATGCTTCAATGCGTAATTGATGAAATGTGAAGCAAAAAAAAAAATTAATTAAGCGGATTGCATTTTTGTGTGTTTGGCCTTGAAATGAAACTACAAGTGTGGGTGGTTCACAAAAATGTGTGTTTTCGTCAGAAAAATATTCATCACTTGGTGTTGCGTTGTTTTTCGTGTGAGAATGCTCATTTCGACAGGTCGATTCATTTAAATCACATGCGTTAATTACCGTTGGACTGAATGATCAAAGGAAAACAGCCAGTCAACCAGTGAAGAAGCATAGTAACTCATTTGATTTGGGAAATCGCGCAACAATGAGTCAACATTGCACAAATAGAATCGAAATATTTAAATTAATATAGACTTTATTTCACCTTCGGTACATTTTATTTCATACATTGATTGACAATTCTACTCTTGCTATACATTTAAAAAAAAACTACAGTAATATTTTAACGACCAATCAAGTTTCCTCCGTAGAAAATTAAAAAAAAAATTACAAGAATTAGAATTTTATCCGTAGAGTGTGCTTGGTCGCGCAATGTCGGAGATCAAGTAGTCGGCTGGAATGTAGTGGAACACCTTGTTCAAAATCACAAGTAGAATGTCTTCAATGGTTTTGGCCAGGATGGGTTTCAATGCATCGGAAACTGGTCGCCAGTTTTCATTCAAATACTGATTCGTACTGTCCTCTATTGAAATACAACGGAAACAGTTTCAAAATTAAAAAGTTTCTTCTTAGCGCTGCACTAAAATTAGATCGACAAAAAACAAATACGGTACACAATTTAAAAGCTTCACACATACATACCCAAAACTTTAACACCGTCAAACAGATTATCTAGACGCAGTTTCAAGCCGCTGAGCGTATAATCGACTTGGGTGCCGGTGATGTTGTAGAAAACATGGCCATCCTTTTCGTAAAGATGAGTTTTCGTTTTCAATGTGATGTTCATATTTTCTGTAGATGGAGAACGCAAACGAATTTCAATGTGAGGATCGACAAAACGGAACAGAACATTTCAATGTTTCATTTTTTTCATTTCAATGAGATTCGACAATTTCGAATTCTACGACAATTTTTGTGTCGATTTTATAAAAATAGATTGAATTAGTTAGTACGAGTAATTTCCGCATTTAACGTTTTCTCAAAGTTTGTTGCGCGTTGTAATGATAAATTAACGAATGAAATTATACGGTAAATGACCGTATAATATTGGATTATCGCATGACTTGCATTTTACGGCATTTGTTGATGATGTTATTATAAGCAGTAGCAACTGGTTGTGTTGCACGCGCACGCGCACACAGACACACGAAACTTCTGATGAAAACTCAAACGTCAGACGTTACGATAAATAAGCATTCAACCAAAACGGAAAATATTCTACACAATGTTAGAGAAACGGTTGAATTTTTGACGTTTGTGTGAAAATATGCAAATTCTTACTTGGTTCAAACCAGCATTTGCCGTGGCCATTCAATGGAATGACTAAGATACGTCCTTGCATATGATAGTTTCCTTCGATGCGAATCTTTGGCACAAACAAATACGTCTCCCAGCTGTAATCAATCGGATTGACTCTGACAGACAATGGAAAGAGAAATTTATCAATAAAATAAAATGGAAAATTTGCGAGAGATTATTTCTATGGGTGAGATTGAGAGTAGTGTATGTTTGATTGACTTTGTTACGAAAGAGAAGAGCAAGTTTCTGTCGACTTAAAAATGGTTAAAAGCGAGTATGTTCGTTTTTAGCGGGTCCTCGCGGTTTTTCACGGTTTCCGCGGAACTGATAAGAGATAACAACTTGGTGTCTTCGGCAAAGTTGTAGCACTCGAGGTCTTCTATAACATCGCTGAAGACAGTTATCTCTTATTTCTTATCAGTTCCGCGAAAAGCGCGAAAAATGATAAGAAAAAAAAAGTTCTATATAAAATTTGCTTTTTTATGTGCGCGATTTGCGCGCAACTGATAAGAGATAAGAGATAACTTTCTTCAGCTTAGTTATAGAAGACCTCAAGTACTACAACTTTACCGAAGACACTATGTTGTTATCTTTTATCAGTTGCGCGAAAACCATGAAGACCGCGGAGGCTAGACGGTACTACAACATACTCTACTTTAACGCCAACAGAATCATCAGAAAACATACTCGCCTTTTCAAAAATATAAATCGAAGAAAAAACATACTCCACTCTCAATCTCACCCATAGATTTGATGGAATTACGCTTACTTGCTTTTAAGAACTTCAGTATTTGCAAAACCAGTTACGGACGCTTTCGAAAGCGATGAATTAATGCTAACGGGACCTTCACCCTGGAATATCTTGATTCGATTTAATTTCATTGGATCGATTGTATCGATTGCCGTGAAACCCTCAATACCTGATGAGGTTAATAAAAAAAAAACAGAAATCTGGGTCAGAAAAGCAAACCAAATCGAAAGCAACACAGCCGAAAACACAAAAACACACTCACCTGTCGTCAATTGCCTAAATAAACCCTGAATACTCTCCCGGGAACAGGCCTCGAAATTGGGATCATCGATTTGACATGTTTTTAGCCAACCATCTGAAAGCATATTCGAATAAATCATTCCGTTGTTAACAATCATTCGTTATTCATTTTCACAAACAATGTTTACCAAATCATGTCCGAGCGAATGAATTCAAAAAAAAAGAGCGAGAAATACAACTGAACATAAACATTCTGAGGAACACACTACCGAAATTCCGTCGGTAAAATGTTTAAGTTGAAATTTCAATTGTTACATTCCGATAGTGAGAATATTTATTAAGATTAATACTCAACGCGCATTATGCACATGCGCTGCAAACGCGTTAAGAAAGAGAAAGATACATAGAGAGAGAGAGACGCAAGTACATGCAGAAGAGAAAAAAGAATGAACATAATTACATTCACTTTCCGTGAAGAGCGATTGAAATTGAATGAAAACTGAAAACCAGTCGGCTTGCAGCCGACAAAATATATAATATGCGTATAATTTCAGCTATTTCTTCAATGTTTCACTTACAAATTGCATTGCGCGCATTTTCATGGCAAACTACTTTTAAAATTCGTACAGCAACAGAGGGAAAAAAAATAACTAAACAAGAACAAAACAGAAGAAGAAGAAAAAAAACAGCAAAATAATTGCCAAACCAATTGAATCAAAAAGATTGGACTGTTGTTTACCATACGATTTGAAATTGGAGACGATCAAAAGACGCATATTTAACCAATAAACCAAAATTGCGCTGTGAATTGAGCCGTTGCACCGGCACACAGCAACAGACGTCAACATTAGCTTATTGCTCAATCACACAACACAATTGACCATGTGAATACCAGCTTCAGTCGGTAGGCCATCAGTACCACAGTGCTGACGAGCTTTACCAATTTATGAATATTACTTCAATTGACAAACCAACAAACTGGCTTCAACATTAGCACCTGAATATTACAAATCGCATGACATAACGGTTAATTTTGCAAGTGATTGAATTCAAGTTAAAGTTTATTTTATAAAGTGCATTTGACGGGAAACAAATTAGCAGATATTTAGATATTTCACAATATCAATACGATTTAGAGGTCCAAAGCGACCGACCAAGTGACACCTTCCAAAATCCACAACTCCCAAAGGATTGTTGTGAGGAGAAATTCGAAATTATAACAACGAAATTAAAAAAAAAAAAAATAGATGGATTTTCTTTTGAAAAGCAGCAATGACTGCACTTACCCTTAACAGTCATATATTCGGATTGTGCCAAACACATGCCAATGAAACTCACAAAAAGGGTAATACTAAACATGATTGATCCTCGGTTTTTTTCCTCTTCTAAATCACAAACGCTTATAATAACAATTTTATTTACAATCACAAATATCAAATGTGCACACAAATAAGTCGCTTTACTTGAATAAGTTACACTTTGACAAAAAAAACAACAACAATAAAAATGATTTTGATTCGAGAAATGATCGGATTTTCGGCAACAAATTCGATAAACAATTTTTTTAAAAGAAAATATTTAATTTTTTCTTCAACAATGATTGATATCCTCCGTATGCGCACACCTTCAGTTCTCGATCAGTTATGAGAACAAGTTGCATGCTTCGGCTTTATTATATAATGCTGGCTGGAAGTACAATTAGGTGATAAAGCGTACATTGTTGTTTATTTTTTTTGTTTCTGTATTTCTCTCTTATTATTATTTTGTCGGTTGTTCTTTCGTCGTTTTTTTCTTTCTTCTCTGTCTTGAGTTGTCGCCGTCATCGTCGTCGTTGTCGCCGTCGTCATCGTTGTGTGTTGCTGCTATGATGATTTTTTCTGTTGTGTTTTCATTCTTTGTTTGATTGTTGTTGTTTTTCTTCTGGTTTCATTGCAAACGATGAAATTTTTTTGCTAAACGCAATCGCAACAGTTTACAACGGATACAAATAATTGTCAAATGGTTGAATTCATCGAAACAATCCGCAACATTTCAATTCCGAAGAAGAGAATAATTGAATGCGCAGATAATATGCCATATGCAACAATGTCCAATTGATTGGCTGCATTGGTTGTGGGTGCCGGCCGAAAGAGTGATCATGATACTATAAACACATGAAATAGCTAAAGCTCATCATTCAACGCGCACCAACCAACCAAATGGCTCATAAAAAATATGACGACTGGACAGCGCAAATTTTCCAACAATTTTGTTTCTTTGTGGATGATTTGTTTGCGATTGCTTCTTTGACCTTTTTCTTTTCGGAATGATCTCGTACATAATTATTGCGACGAAAAACATTGAAAAGAAACGGCAATTTTCGAACCAACTGAATACATCAAAATACAATATTTTGTCGCTGACCGAAAACAAAATTTGGTAATTAAGTGGTGTTTCGTTCGTTTAGCAAGAGGAAATTCAATAAATTCTAAAACGGTTTCCGTTCATATGCCCTGTATGTGGACTGAGGCAATCGGCCACTTGTCGTCGTCGTCGTGGTCGTTGTCATTGATTGATACCGACCAAACGAACGATTTCGTGAATCAACTCGACCAAGACAGAAAGCAAGGGAGAAAACAAAAACGCACCAAGACTATCGACGCATTTTGAAAATGGAATTTTCAAGATCATCATCATGACACAAAAATAGCCACTCGAGATTTGGTGGAGCACCACACAGAAATGCGGCGCTCTCGATGAGATTGTCCAGGTTGATAAGTTCTCGGGCAACTAAAAAAGGGAGAGAGAGAGAGAGAGAAAACGCAGAGAAAATCGACGCTTTTTACAAACATCAGCAAATTATTTGCGAGCGATTGTGCGCCTGTTTCATCAACGCGATGAGTCTAATTCCAAAAATAAATTTCATTGCCAACCTTCACATAGTCGTCGCGTAAACAAGCCGCCGCACATTGAAATTATTGGAAAACCAGATCAGCCGAATTAATTCAAATTAAAATATTTGCTGTTGTTGTTGTTGCGGTTTTTCCCATTCCTTTTCGGCTCGAGAAAATGTGTGTGAGAGAGAGAGAGAGAGAGAGTTTTTTTTCGGTTTAAATTAAGTTGTGAATGAACGAAAACGACCCACTTGAAATGTGATTCAATTCCATTTATTTTGTACAAGCATTTTAATTTGTATTTCGTAACGGAAAACATTCAATTCAACCTCAATTTTATGGTTCTTGCGTCAATACGAAACATAAATAAAAATTCCGATTTGGTTTTAATTTCACCATTCAATTTACTGTTTGCTATGCGAACTGATCTTGTGTCCATGTTCAACTATCTCTCAGCCAATTTTCAGTGACTATTTACTTTCATTGACAATGGCAATTAAAACGGAACCTAATCAATGTAATAAAATTGAATATTAAATTCTATTCTTAGGTGCCATTAGCACATAAAAAATCCTATGAATAATCAAATGTAATTAAGTAAATTGCTTCGTCACATTGAATCACACTGCACATCAGCTGAGATGTTGCAATCGATGAGAAAGAGGGGATTTGAGTGGTGTTGGTTCAACAAATCGGTTTCATAGACAAATTGATTTATTTATGCTAATTAGACACTGAAAATTGTTACACAAGATAATTTTCCATTTATTGCGAAAAGAAGAGAGAAAAAATTGCTGCAAATAGTCTGAATGATTTTTATTTGAATATCCACTGTTTTTTTATTTGTTGTTGATCATTTTAATATCTAAATATACAAATTAAGTGGCAGCACACGATTCAATCGAGGGAGAAAAAAAATTGATGTAGTCATTGAAATTAAAAGAAATGTCTTTTTGCAATTAATTAAATGAATTTATTAAACCGTTATTTGTTTGAAAATTGATCGTACATATTCACTTTGAAAATAATGAAAATTTATGAAAGCAGAGAATATGTAAATTATGTGTTACGAAGATTATAAAATCGATGGCGGATGGTTAAATTACATGTGACGAGTGTTGCTGAAACCGCCGTGTCCAGCCTGTGATGCGCCCTTATTGAAGCCCATTTGAAGGTTCAATTCACCTTCATGAGCTCTCAATTGAGCTTCAGTGAATGATCTTTCATTCTTGTCAGCCATCTTTGGTCCCAATGCTGGCCCGTTGTATTCTGGATGTTTTTGGGTCTAATTTCAATTTTTTTTTTTGCCGAAGAAAAATTAATATTTTACAATTAGTCTGTTGAAATGAGTGCAAATGGGGTATTTTAGCAGAACACTTACATAGCGGCCCAATGCATACAAAGTCAATGTGACTTGTGGGACATTTCTTCGCTCAAACAAGTCAGCTGTTTGGAAGATTTCCTCTTCAGGCAATCCGTATTTCTTAAGGAAAGCTTGGAATCGTTGAACATTCTCCATCAATTGGAAGTTGGTACCGCGTTCTTGGATCTTCTTCACTGAACCAGGCACCATTTTATTTGCCAATTTACAGAGAACAACGCCATCTTTCAAAATGTCCTCGTATTGTCCAGCTGGTACTTTTTCGCCCAACACTTTGAAAATCCATTCCAAAACTTCTTGCTCTTGTTCCTTGTTACGTGGCTACGATGAGAAAAAAAGAAAAGAAATAAAACAAACGAAAAATGAAACGAGCGAAGGAAAACCGAACGAAAAGAGAGAAAAAAAAAGTAATTCTCAGCGATGACTGGCTGATATAATGAATCGCTTCACTGTTTCGCCTCTCTCGTGGAAAATTTAATGAAAAGCTAATTCGTGAATACAAACGAGCATTCAAAACACGCTTAATACGTATAATTAATGAATAACAATAATGTTGCCGACGACAAGTCATTTTTCCTCGGTACACCCAACATGTGAATTATTTTGCTTACTGTCAGAATTGCCAGTCAGATTTTGCAATCGGTGGTTCTGTTCAGAATGCTTTTTTTTTTTACGGCAATAGAAATACAAGCGAGAACAAAATAATATGAAATTAATTAAAGTGATTCGTGTGACACGTACTCGCCACCGCGTACGTAGTTCACTGTGAACGGGAGAGACAAGGCGAAAGAGAAAAAAACAACGAAAAATGAAACACAATATGCACAGTAGTTTTTTTTCCCTAGTATGTAAAACGAAATTGCACAAAAAGACAAGAAAAAAAAACGGTTTGTGAATGTTGAGAGGATAGAGAGACGAAATGGAAATAGGGAAAATGTACACATTATACAGAAATATGTATATGAATACAACAAACCGCCTAAATTATATATACACTGATTGTTGTTTTGCAAAATCGGAAGAGGAAAAAAAAAACGGTGTGGAGAAAATGTTTGTGTGATAATCTTTCGCAATTTTAGATGAAAAAAAAAGTATCACCGCCCACGCACTCAACGACGACAATTCATGGCTGATATTCACAATTCACATCTATTTGTTGCGAGTGAATTGGCCTGAAACGAATAATCAATCTGTCACTTGCCATTCATTGTACAATGAAAAGTGTTTTAAACAAAAACGACGAATGAACTGAGTAATTCTCTAATTACAAGCAGTGCACGCTCTCATTTTTGGCACCAAAACTCTTAATTTCGTTACGATCATCCCCACGCCACGCCACAATGAAATAATCGTAACAAATTAACGATTTTGTCCGCTGCTTAATTGCTTTCTCTCTGTATGACGCCAACGACTTTACACAATTCAAAATGATCTCGCACAAATGTTGTGATCAATAATAATAATAATAATCATTGAGTCATTGTACAGAGACCGAATTCTTTTTTCTTTCCATTTTCGATATTTCATCGCCACACTGTTTATCTTCTTTATCACACAAATGTTGATCAATCACAAATAACTAAGTCTTACCGCCATTATGAATGTCGATAAAAAAAAATATTATTTTTCAAAGAAAAATTGAAGATGAAAATTTTAGATAATCCAAGTAGATTTTCTTCGACTAGAAGATTTGATCTTTAGCGGCTGAGTGCCAATTTGAATCTGAGTCTAACGTAAGTAAAATTGAACCTGAAATACTGTGGCAATGTTTTTCTCTTCTTCGTTTCGTATTATAACAACATCCAAATCCTAGCTTTTCCGCACACATCCACAGCTACACACAAATCATGAGAGTCGGAAAATCAAACGAAAACAAGATGAATATGTGTAAGCGGTTAGAAAAGCGGAAAAAAACGTCGAGCAAGCAAACGGATGCATGAAAAAGGGGAAAAAATGAAAAATGGAACAGAACATTTAGCGTGGTGAGAGAACACAAAAAGAAGAGGAAAAAAGAACGAAAAAAGAAAGGAAAACACGCCAACAAATCCAAGTATCACGGACAAAATAAGATGGTGTGTGATCATCATTCGTCGTCTACAATATGTTTGTTTTTTTTTCTTCTCCTCTCGCTCCGCTGTGTTCTCATGAAAAATTTTGTTTTTCCTTTGTTTCTGGCTTCGGCCGTTATGACGTCGATGCAAAGAGTATAAACAAATAATCTTATTAAAAAAAAAATTTATATATATTAATAAAGAAAAATAAATATTGACGATGGTGTTGTGTAGGCGCGCACTTCATTCTCCTACAAACTAAATCATAGAATCCATTTATTATCATTGAGCTTGATTCGGCGGCTCCTCAAAAGTATTTGCAAATCGCGAGAAAGCAAACTATCTGGTGGGACGTTGTTCTGTAGTAGAAATAAAAAGAGAGAAAAGGAAACACGCTGCCAAATCGATTTATTCGATTCTTGTAGTTTATGAATGTAAACATATCGAGCCGAAACCAAACATACAAAATTTGCTGCAATAAAAAAAACATCTATCTCTATCCATCTCTCTCTCTCTCTCTCTCGCGTGCGCGTTCTCTTTTGAGCTGTACACTGTTTGTTTTCTGATTGTTCTGGATTTCGCTAAACTATATACTAAACATCATGAGCTTTGCACCGAAGAACATTTTCAGTGTGATGGTTTTTCATCGCGGCCCGTTGTGTGTCCCATTAGTTGAGTGAAAAATTTCGAGATGATTATAATTTATAGGCACCACAGTGACTTAATGAAACGACATGTACGTGCTCTCAACCGACTATTCTAACAAGTCGATCTATGTGTATCGACTATGGTGTCGGAGCAATAAAAATATATATATTGTGAATTATAAATATGTTTTAAAAATAACCGTTACGATAGATGCTTTCAACTGATTCATACTCTTTCATTCGCTCGCTCAATTTCAGGACTCTTTGCTTCTCATTCTCCCGTCTCTTTGGAAATTCGATTCAATGAAGATCCGGAACCACGTTTGAATTTCCATTTTCTTCGATTGATTCGGTTTCATTTTCTATGACTAATTCCACGTAAATCTTTGCCTTCTGTGTTTGCATTCACGGGCAATTAACTTGTCCGCAAAGGAGCAATGACTCTTGTGTATGCGTGTGTGTGTGTTTGTGTACACTAAATGCGTTCAGGTAACAGATGTTTGGCATTATTCACAATTCAAATTTGTCGACGTCATTTCACGAAGCGATGTTTACTAGGGAAAGAGCGAGGCAGAGAGTGAAGTGAAGACGAAAGAAGGAAAAATCAAAACTGTGTTGTTGAAAACTCAATGAATCAAAGGCCATATGTTTGGAGAGCGAAAGTGTGCGCGTGTGACAATCTCTCACACTTAATATTGGCTCGTCGTTTGCACACCAAAACCCCCAAAATCATTTGTAAACATTTTATTCATCAAGTACAATATTTCTGAAGAGGACGAACCATGTCAAATAAAATTCACCGCTCATTTGCAGCGAAAAACGGTTTCAACGGATGATCTCGAAACTTCTTCGATTCGATTGAAAGCGAGCGAACGGGTGAGCGAGAGCGAGAAAGAGAGAGAGAGAGAGAGAGAGAGAGAGTGAGTGAAACAGAGATGTACGAAGTAAAAAAATATATATAGTCACCGGATTTAGTCAGAACATATTTATAGTCACACATCGAACAGTAAAACGTCAAAAAATATGCCTTATGCAATATTTTAAAATGAAGCGTTTGGTTTTTTCGTCTGTGCTGTGCTCTCTGTGCTACGAGAATCCTAGCAGGAGCCTATAGAGCACAATGACAACGTTTATAGACGCAAAGATATAAACAAAATGTTCGCCTGTGAAAAATGTCTTTTCAGAATGACTTGAACGAAAAGAAAGAACAAAAAAAACTGTTCAAGAATCGCGCGCGCGCGCGCTGTCAATCTTTCAACCTAATCCGAGCTAATGACAGTCCGAATTTAAGTCCGAATGAAACTAGGGCGGCATAGAAGGCTTCCCTTGCGAAAACAATCTGTTGATAATATTGCTAATAATATACAAAGTGTGCGTTGTCAATTCGACTGCGAATTCACTCAATGTATACTGATTGGGTTTATTTTCAATGAAATGCCACTCTCTGTGTGTTCTTCTGGTGTGTTTTTTTTTGTCGAGTTCATACAAGCAATACTCAATGAGATGTCAATTTGTTTTCAATTTTACAGGTAGCTGGAAAGCGTGTCCCAGAGGAAGAATTGCAAGCACAGCAATGGATTGAACAGCTCATTGGCGAGCGTTTTCCCAACGTTCCATTCGAGTATGCACTCCGTGACGGTATTATTTTGTGCAAATTGATGAACCGTTTGGCACCAGGAATCATTCAAAAAATCAACACAAGCGGCGGCGACTATAAAATGATGGACAATATCAACCAGTGAGTGTTTCAGCATCAATTTCAATTACAATTTCAAGCGATGATGACAACCGCATTTCAATGCTTTGCGACTGAGTCGTCGCAGAGAAAATGCATCGTAGCCTCATATGACGATGGTTTCAAAGTGATGGTATTTGCAGTTTAGCTTTACTCGTATGTACGGCCCGGTCGTTGAGTGTTGCTCTAAGCACGGGATTGGGGAAAAAAAGCGAAATAGAGAGAAAATGCGAATAACATAGAAACAACAAAACGACAGTGAATGCAATTGTTGTTTCTAACTGTACACACATCGGAACAAGCTATCATAAACCGTTGAATAAATGGCTTTGTACTCACATCAAAGCGATAGCAAAGAAAATACACAACAGCCAAAGCACGTTTGAAGTGGGTACACAACCAAATGTGTTGTGTTTGTTTATTAGACACAACAACATACAAAAGTAATTTTCTAACGCTCAACACACGATTGTCGCTATGAAGAGTGTATATACGGTCACTAAAATGAGCATTAGAAATGAATGCTGCTCGGTTTTATGAGACGCTGGTAGAAATACTTTGGAAGAAAGACGCTTAAAATGTTGAAACTTTTGATGTTTTTTTTTCTATGGGATTTGACACAAAATTCCGAAGCAGGAAAATGTGTAGACATGCATTTCGACCGTAGCATTCATGATAATCGTTTGAAGTTGGTGAAAAAAGCTCCGTGCTGATCATATTCGTTTTTTTTTGGCAATTATTTCGGGCACGCAAGCAGTATGGTCAAGCTGACAATCAACTTCGTTCACATTTTTCGGCTGTAGTTTATGGTGTCTCTTTGTCTTTCCCTCTCTCCGAAACAGGTTTTGTTTCAAAAGTTTTGGGCCATACATTGAAAAATGCGCACGTTAAATACTATACACAAATCGTATGGCTTTATGCGTGCCTGCTATCACTGGAATACAGTGAACAATTTTTACGTATCGAAAAGCGTCTTGAACTTTTCTACAGTGTGGGACGAAATACACCAAACATGACAAGCTGCATGTGAGTGCGACTGGTGTACGCGTTCCATCGTCTTATTGGCGCCGGGTAAAAAATTCACCGATTGCTCTACTTGATGTTCCGATGATTGCTTGAACCACTTCAACTAAATATCAGTAAAATAAATATAACAAATGCACTTGAAACTATTCAGCGTGGAGCAGTGTTCAGTGTATCAGCTATCGCTTTCGTACGAAAACAGAGTAAAATAAAACCCGTGAGAATGTAAATGTGGGGATAGACACATGTTCGGGCATCGCTATCGCGTATAAATCTCGCTCTCTCTCTCTCTGCATGTGCATACACATTTGAATCAACGCTACGTACCGTTTTGCTGCGTGCGCACTGCTCTGTTGTCATTCATGTGCACCTGGTAGAAAATGTTATAGTGGTTGGTTGATAGAGTACGTTTAGAGTGAAACTCTCGCCTGATTAGAATTAGCCGAGTGTACTTAAAATATATATAGATATACATATAGATGTTTTTTTATTTCACTCGAACGAATACAAGTATCGCTATTTCTCACGTCATCGTTTTTATTGTTGTTGTTTTTTTTTCTCATATAGATTCCAAAGAGCATGCACATTGTACGGTGTCGGTGATGTCGATTTGTTCCAAACCACCGATTTGTGGGACTTCAAAAATATCGCTCTTGTCACCCAAACCATCTTTGCCATCGGACGTGCTGTATGTATTCGATTTAAATGAGTTTTTTTAATGCATATTTTTTTCAATTATTTTCGTTTTTTTTTTTCAAATTTCCTTTCATTTTCCCAAAAATATAATATAATATCGAGTTATTTTGTGTAAAATCATTCATTTTTGTTGTTTTTTTTTTCTTCAGACCTACAAGCACCCAGAATATAGAGGTCCACACTTAGGCCCACGTCCAGCAGAAGAGAACAAACGTGAATTCACAGAGGAAACACTCCGTCAAAGTGAAGCAATTATAGGTTTGCAGGCTGGTACCAACCGTGGTGCTAACCAATCTGGCCAAAACTTCGGAGCCTCACGTAAAATCATCCTCGGCAAATAAATTGGGGCGATCATTTTAGCATCAGTAGATTTATCATGTTCAAACAGCGTGTTTTTTTCTTTCTTTCTTTAAAGACCTATTGTTTTCCTGCAATTTTGGTTTGCTAAATTTTGTACAATAGAATTAGAAATGTAAGCATTTACCTATCCACAACATTAGATATCAAATGAAATTCATGTTTTTTTTTGTTCAACAACTCAAAATAAAACAGTCTAGCTGTGCAATTTAATCGCATTTTTATTTTCTTTCCCTTCTCTCGCTCTCCTCTTTCTCACATTTCCGTAGAATAAAATGACAACAAAATAAAACAGATCTATAATTTTCTGTATGTATGACAATTTTCCATTTAAAAAAAATATATAAGTATTTCTTATATTTATTTTTGTAATATTTTATGGTACGTTCTTCACTTGATTATTATAAAATATTTATATATAACATTAGCTGCCTAGCTGCCAATTCGATGTGCGAATGTGAAGTGCAGTGTAAACAAGTTATTTCCGTATCAAAATAACAAGATAAGTTATGTCTCTCGAAGGGAAAAAAAACAAATTAGAAATCACTATGATCAACGTGATGATGATAATAAAAAAAAACGTATTCATCGTATATATTGCTAATATGGCAAAAAAGAAAAGTCACATTAAACGGATTAGCTGCTGATTTTCATAAATTTATTTTGTTCTGTATATTTTTTTCGTGATTTCCCACAATCTCATTGTTTCATCGTATGCTGCCGATTCATTCGGGTGCTGGTTCGGGGAATTGTTTCCGGTGTTTCATTATTGCACGCCAGATTTTTACCTCAACTCCGCATCTATTTTGAGAATAAAAACGAAAAAACAAAACAAATGCACATGCATAATTGAGCATTTTTTTTGCATACAATGTTTCAGGCGCGTAGGGACTTACTTCAATCCAATGCGTTGCAAATCGGTTTTTTCCATTCCATAAATAAAATCATCGTACGTAAATTGTTCCGATAGGATTGCCGTTTTTGACATGGGATCAATGTTAGTTGCATTTAGCCAGTCATTGAGGCGCGTTTCGACTGGTATTGACGTAGCCATTTGATCTCGGCTAATGTGTAATCGTTTTCCGGGTGATGCTTTTAGCTGTGCGTCTGATTTGGATTGATTTGGACAGGTCAATAGGCCGGTTTTTCGTGGCAAATTCGGTTCCATATTTCGATTATTGTTGATGGCATCCACTTCGGTGATGGAATTTGGCATTTGTGAAACGGGCGATACAGATAAATTCTCATTTTGATTGCGACCTATCGCCATGTCGCTGGTATCACTGGAATAACTGTAAACAAGCAAATGATATGTATTTAAATATCGAATCGTTCACGAATAAAATGAGCTTACTTTTCATACCCTTGTGAAACGCTGCGCTCATAGAGCACCGTGGAATTTGTCAGTTGAGCGGTGAAATTGCGTAGCAAATCTAAATTAAGGCGTTGCTCTTCGATTGTCGATTTTAACAAGGCCTGATACAGTTTGTGTGATTCAAGTAGGTTTTGCATGAGATGCATATTTTGCACTTTTAATTTGGAAAATTCCTCGTTCAAATATTTACTGTCAGCGCTGATTGGTTTGATTTTCGTGGAATTCACCGTGCTTACGCCAGACGTTGACATTTCCTCCTCTTCGGCATTGTCCAATCGATCTTGGCCCGCCAAACTTGCACCCAACTCTAAATAACCCATTTAATTTGAATTAGCACAAATGCATTGGAAACAATCAATTCCGTTTCGTTTGAATATACCTGGCGACAAAACGGTGATTCCTGCTTGGACAGCATTACTAACTAGATTATCCAACGCAAACATCCAATGCGGTTTTATACTGTGCGATCGAAGCACCGTATTGACGGCATCCTTTCGATTGAACAAAAATATATAAATAAATGGAAACAGTTTTAACACCAATTAATAAAATGAACACATTGAATAGAATTTATTATGCTGAGACTCAGAACCTGAGTTCAACCTACTTGAAATGAATATAATGCCAAAAGAAGATGATCGATGGCTGTTGCATCGGAGCTTAGCTTCTTTTTTAGCGAAATTAGCACATTTTGTAAAGTTTCATTATTTTGATCGATAATATAATCTCGTAATGCTCGGTTCATTGTTTCAAGGTTCTCCTGCAGATGAAAATTTATTTTTGAATTGCCTTGACTCAAAAAAGATTAGAAACAAAAAAAAGGACAAAAACACCAAAATTTACTTTACTAATGACGACCTGAACATTATGGTTATTTTCAATTTTGTCCATCCAAACATCACAGATTTTTTGCTCATCATGTGTTAATACTTTCGATAGGGTGGTTCGACGTTGCGAATCCTTTTTAAGCATATAAAATCCATCGCTTTCGTTAGCTTCAGTCATTGGCTTTGTTATGCTGCCGGTCATTTCGACTTCGGGCGATAATAGAACACCCGATGAACTGCGCCGATTCAAATTGAACGCCGTCTCAACATCATGATCCGGATCGATTAACGGTGAACAAGCCAAACTGTGTATTATAAATAGATAAAAATAATTATATGATGATCCACAATCGATTTCTGACACATGACATTTTCTTTGTTGTAAGTGAAGTGAGTAAAAGCATTTTAGTTATTTATAAGAGAACAGAAAAAAGAAACATGGGAGAAATGCAAACAAGTAAAGATCTATATATACATTTAAAACAGTAATTCAAGACAAAAGTATTTCTGTCACATATACCTGTGGGTCATTATAATTGGAATGGGTATTTGAATTGGTGCCAAATGAGTTCGAGATAATGTTTTCGATGATGGTCGGGCTGACATAGATGTACTACGCAAAAGAACAAACACATAAAATGGTGGGGGAAAAAAAGAAGAAAAAAAGACAATTCACGTATTTAAAACCAAAAATTCCAAACAAAAAAACAAACATATTGTTATGAAGGGATTAATTGACACGTAGCATAAAAAAAATGCTAGTTTCGAGCAGAAAACAAAATCGATTTACAAAACATCAATTCAAAATACATTCGAAACAAATAAAACATTTGCATGACAATGAGTTGAGTGATTGACACATACTCCAAATCGGGCGTCACTGGTGTCGTCACTGGATTGAATGGTGCCGTATTTTTTGAAATCATTCGATCGGCCGGAACGGAGACACTTCGAATGAATTCGGTATTAGTTGGCGGTAAGCCCGACAATATGCGCGATTTTCGATGCTTTCTGCAATGAGGAAGAGAAAAAATGATTAGACTTTTCAATATTGGACTCAAATTTGGGTAGGTACTCCGTACTCCGATAAAAATGGATCTTCAAGGAGTTGTGCGGCTGTTGCACGTTTGTTGACGTCAACTTCAAAACAACGCAAAATGAAACGTTCGGCCATTGAGGACATTTCAGGTATTTCTGGATGGCTCTTGTAAAAGCCAACTTTAAACATGGCCGCCTGTGGTGATCCCAATTCCACAAATGGCGGTTTTCCCGTTGCCATTTCGACATTCGTACAACCGAATGACCAGACGTCGGCCGCCGGACCATAACCTCTGAATCCTTGATCGATGACTTCGGGTGCCATATATTGCAATGTTCCCGCAAATGTTTCCGTTATGGGATTTATTCCTATGGATAAAAAACAAAATGCAATTTAGGAGACAATATTCTTTCATGAAAACGTAAAAAATTGTAAATATTGATCATCAATTCACCTGCCAACCGTTTGCTGGTACCAAAATCGGAGATTTTCAACACTCCACTGTAGGTATTGACCAGAACATTATCGCCTTTGATGTCACGATGCACAATTTTTTGGTCGTGCAAATATTTAAGACCTTCGAGAATTTGTTTTGAGTAAAATGCGATGGTCGATTCGTTATCTTTAAGTGGGCCCCATTTGGAGCGTAATAGTGCGGACAATGAGCCACCAGGTACTTGTTCCATGAAAATTTTGAAAAATCCATTTTCCGACACAGAACCTAAATACTGGACGATATTCCGGTGCCGTAATTGGGAATGCAATTTGATTTCTTCGTGCAATGGTTGTACTTCATGTGTAAATTTTTCAGGTACTTCTTTTACAGCGATTCGAACATGAGTATTAAGATCACGTGCCGCAAAAACAACGCCATAAGTACCTTTGCCCAATATTATACGCCGTCCTTGATCGTCCAAATCGTATTCATAATCTTGAATGGGATTTGTATCGACCGATAAATCGACAAACACCTCTTGATCGGCGGTTATTTCACGCACCAACTCATAAAAACGCTGTCGACAATTCACCGATGGGAAATACATTTGAAAATCATCTGAATTGTGATGTACATATAAGTAAGCCGAACGCTCGTCCCGTTTGTACAGGCTAACCGATTTGATTTGATTGGCGGTGAACAGGAAGTCGTGCACTTTTTTGCACGTTCCCTTCGAATGTGCCAGGCACAAATTGGTAATTTGTATCGATTGCTCTTCGGCACCAACATTAATGATAACGAAACTTGGCATGAATATTCGTTGCGGCTCCAATATCTACGTACGAAAGAAGGGGATGAGATCAATCATAACGGAAATTTACTCAACAAAAAGCGAATTTCGAAATTTACTCACCAAAATGGGAAATCGAATATTCTCCAGATCGCCCTCCTTGGTTGCTTCGAGGAAGAACTCCATCCAAAACTGGAAAATACTTTGTTCAGGACTTTGTTCGACGTCATCAGTCTTTTTGCGGAAGCGATCGATCAATGCAATGTTTCCAATGGTAGATTTCAAATACCAATTCGGTGGTTTCAATTTGAACATGCATTCAGCGGCTTGAATGGCTTTGCCATAGTCTTCAGCCAGCACGGATATTTCAAAGAATGTTGCCACATCCCAGTACTCAGTCAACGAAAATAAACTGCCTTTTTTACCAATCAAATTGTTCAACACCATACCGATGTGTTGGAGCTCTTCTGTGTTGGAAAAATCTTTGCCATCGATCACAAGGAGTGTCGCCAAATTAATGCCTGCATATTCGTTCGGTTGCACTTCGAAACTTCGTCGATACCATCGTATGGCATTCTTCAGACTGTCCATATCGGTGTGGCTCGATTCAACGAATTTGTCTTTGTAAATGCGACCGCATAAGCATAACATATCGGGAAAATGGTTCTCTTTTCGTTCCAATGCTTTGACACAGGTGTTGAGCGCTTTTTCACGATCGCCTTCCTTGTTTCGTCGATTCAATGCAAAGGCGTACATGTATTTCATGTTGCCCGTTTCGATGTGCTTCCGTTTGTTTGGTATTGTACGCAAGTCGTTGACCAGCGACACCATTGCATCATAATCTTGTGTATCACGCAACGAGCACATATACGAATGCACCACTTCGCCCGACAACACATTCGGATCGTCCAAACGTTTACGCATATTGTGCAACACTTTCGCCAATTCCTCCGTATTATTCACATATTGCTCACGAGCCAACCGCAAATCGCTCAGGAATTTCTCTCGCATATGTGTCCTAAAATCATACAACAGTAAATACGTTTTTAATTGAATTGTAGCCCCAATTAAATTGCATAATAATACAATCGATTCAACTCACTTTGACTGGATTTCCACGTCTTGCAATAGTTTTTTGAACTTCAGCATGAGCGATTGCTTGTTTTCACACGATTCTTTTGTTGTGTTTGTTAGCACGCACGAGCCACAATCTTGTAAAATGTATGGAAGAAACGTGTAGTTGCCACATGACAGCTGAATTGAATGAATGGAGAAAAAAAAATGAATCGTAAATACGTTTGTTCGGCTTTGCACGTTTTTCGCATCGAATCAGTATCAAGTGAGCCAGTCAACTTACTTTCAACCGAAGCGTTTGTTCGGTTTGGATATCGTTGTACAGCAGAATGTTTCCTTTCATGCCAAAACTCTCGCGTACACCCAAATGATACGATAAGGCACTTTGTTGCAATTGAACGCTTAGATCAACAACAGCCACATCTGCGTTATAGAATGTGTCCAACACATTCGTTTCGCCAAAATCCAATTTTTCAAACTATTTCGCGAGAAAGAGACCATTAATAGCCAATTAAGAAGCAAATTCACATCGACTGTGCATAGGAATGTGCGCACATATATGCTAATTACCTGAATCTGATGCAAATTGGCATTGGTGAGGGAGCATGCTTGTTTGAGTTCATCGAGTGCACATTTACGATGTGATATGTGGTCCACATGCACGGTGTCAATGACGCAGGCAACGTCCATACGCGGTCGATTCGCTTGTACTGCCGTATTACCAGACATGTCACTCAAATTTGACATGCTGTCCGTTTGTCGCACGCCATTCAATTCTAAATCCGAATGATAAATGTGCATTTTTTGTGTGTTAAACTCGTTTTCAATAAATAACAATTATCCGCGACAAATCAATGCGCACATACGCACACACACACACATACAACTGGGTGTTAGTGTATGTGTATGTGATGTATCACATTTCAAATTTGATTCGATTAATTAAACGATCTGTCTCCTACACAATCATAGGTTAAAAGGGTCCAAATGTTAACTATCCCACTCAATTTAACATGATGAAATTTACTATTTCTTCTTCGATTGTTTGATTGTTATTGCTGTTGAAAAATTTGATTTTACAAATTGGATCACATGATAAATACCAGCCGGATGAAATTTGAAATATTTGCTGAAAAACAACAACGTCTTATCAACAGCGCCACTCAGTCAATATATGTTCTATATGAAAAATCCTCATGAGATTTTAACAATTCTTTCTTATCAAATATTTTCCATTTTGAATAAACAAATATAACTTTCATTATTCATGTGTTTTTATCCTTAGATTTATCATGAAATCGACGGACAAAAATAAATTTTCCATCAAAACAAAAACAAATTTTTTTTTTATGCTAATTTGTTATTTGACTCAGCGTGTTGACTAATACAGGAGAAGAGAAGAAAAAAACAAACGATTCAAAGTGCAAGTTTTTTTCTTTCTCTGCTTTTTAAATACAATACAAGATACAATATAAATTACCTGGTGGTATTTCATCGATAGTCGCGGCAGCTGGAACAGCCGCGGATGATACGGTTGATGTTGGTGAAGGCATTTTGTATGTGTGTATGTGTATTAACCTGAATGAACTTATTCGACTTAAACGTAATTTTGCACTTTGAATTTTTTTTACAAATAAATCCGTTGGATTCAAATGCTACTTTAGGGTTTTTCGCATCTTTGTTCCAATCATATTCGATAGAGTTTCACGTTTTGTAATTTAATATTTCACCTAATAACAATAGAGAAAAAGAAGTGCATGCAATTAGAATCAAGGTGTTGAAAATGATTCAATAAATTGACACAAATTCCAATAAGAAAAATAATAAACGACACAACATTCGTTTTTCACTTCGTGCAATGCAATGCCGTTTATTCAACAGTAAAATTCAATGAAAACCGTTATAAATTGCGGCGATAAAGATCAGAAGTTTAAAATTTGATGATCGGTGCAGTTTTCAAAGAAAAAAAGAATACAGAGAAAAAATGAAAAAAAGCAAGAATGACTCGAATTCACACTCGAAGCAAATGTGTTGAGAAATGTATGTATATATTATATTTGGTTCGCGAGTGAGTGAGAACTTGACCATAAATGGCATAGTCTCTGTTGAGATGTAGCAAAATGATGCGGAGGGATAAAGAGCAGAGGAGTAGGCAAAGCGTTTCAATTTTCCCAAAGAGCTGTGGGTGTCACATATACATCGTGTGTACCTCTCTCTCTCTCACTCAATCGTGTATTGGGTTTTATGGCTCTAATTAAATGCGGTGTCTTATTTCGCCACAAATCCAAATATTACGCAATTTCGGTTTCTCTCAATAAAACCAATTCTTTTTTTATACAGCTTAGGGCTTTGGAATGTGTATTATACGTTATTTTGCCATGATTTCAAAAGATAACACTCGTTCTTCGAACTATTCAACACTCAAATGTGTTCTTTCGATTCGCCTCACTGTAAACAAACAACGTTTGAATTGTTGTTTGTATTCTTATCAAGAAGAAGGAAAAAAAATTATATTGCTGTTTATATTCGGCTTATTTAAAGGGCTCAGTGTACACACACAAGAAGCCAAACATTAAACAACAGAATTTCCGTATGTGATTTACGGTTAGGCTGTTTGATTGGTTTTTTTTTCAAACTTGGACACTTTGAAAAAGAATGCGGCTATTTTTAAAATGCACATACTGGCTGCTATTTTAGCCGTTTCGTACACAGATGCGAGAGTCACAATTTGCTGAAAAACGTGCTAATCGCTTGTAATTCTCGCTCTTTCTCTCTCTTTCCGTGTCTTTCTCGGTGTATTTTTTTCTATCTTTGTCGTACTCCTCTTTCGTTTGAACGGATTATTTGCACATTTGCACATACATAACACAACATGACATTACACTGAATATGATACGGCTTTTTTTTATTCTCTCAGTGTTTGTTTGTAAATATGAAATGCTTGAGAATTATTTTAAATTTTTTTTTTGTCGTTTTTTAACAATCTCTGTATAACTCTTGAACCGATGAAACGCATTTATACTTTCGAATCGAAATGGATCGCATCGAATACAACTCAATTTACAATATTGCACCCATATTTTTGTCCGTTTGTAATGTCACTGAAAATGCACCGTTCAATTTAACACAAGTGAAAAATGAATGCCGAACGATATGAGAGAAAAAAACAAATTCTATCACAGAAAAAAAAAATCAACAAAAACAAACAAAACCTGAAGCGAAATAAGAATTCTAGTCTGAAACCCACTCGCACGATGGAAGACAATGGAAACGTCAACAAACAACGCCACCAATCGGATTCAAGGCAAAGTATTCCGACATTTTGGCATATACCACATTGTACTTTCATATTACTTAAGTCCACAGTTCTTTCGAATGCTACGAGATGGCAGCAGATGTCTAGACAGCTTTTAGTTGAATTTTGTTCGTTTTTAGTGGTTCGAATAAGAATTAAGACCAAGGAATTGAGAATAATATTTTTATTCTAATTGAAAACAAAAACTTTGAGTGTGATGAAAAGTGATGTATGCTTTGAAATAAAATGTACGGATACGAAATAAGAAAATATCCATCACTTTGTCAAAAAAGAATAATAAACAGATGAGTAAATGTTTCGATATGATTTCTTGTTTCGTCCATCGATAGAAATGTTTCTATCTAGCTGTAAAGTCAATCAAAGCATAGCACTTCATTTGCATTTGACCCATCAATTGGAATGTTAACTGGCAATGATCAAGTTATAACTCCATTTGTTTGTGTTTGTTGAACATGAAGCGGGCCCGATCCGAGATCGCAGCAAATGGGAAAAACTGCTTGGTGTTAATTGACTAATTTCACAGCGTAAATATGCATTCCGACAAATTAATGAAAATGAAATTAATTTGTTGTGGAAGTCGTGTGGCTTCAGATCAAAGTTGACTTGCCAACTTATTTGTTCTGCCCAATAAAATGTGATATATTGCATTTGAAGCGGAGAGCGAGAGAGAGAGAGAGAGAGAGAGAGAGAGAGAGAAAACGGTGTGTCTTTACATTTTATCGGCATGCACCGTGCACCGATGCATTCGAGCTAGAGAGAAATAAGTGCTACTTGCAAACATTTCAACACCATACGCTGGTGAAAAGGAGTGCGGTGCACTCGAGCGTTTAATAAGTCGTAAATTTTGGCTACACTGTAAATGCGGTGTTTTATTTTCTGTCGTCTACTTTTTTTTTCATCTTATGAATAGTGGCAAGAGAGAGAAAAGTGAGCCCGTCACACACATGTGGCTGTGTCAATGCGACACACAAATGCGATGTTATTTATGATTGGGGAAATTTCGACGAGGCAAACAAAGAATGTTTTGTTGATATTTTTTGTTTTGAAAATCGTCCATTTTTTTTAATCAAAATAAATCATTTACTGCTTGAATTGAGCGCTTATTGAGATTGCATTCACGATGCTATCCTGTTTGAATCAGAGCATTCGTGTGCAGTTAAATCGATAGAGTGCCTCATTGCAAGGTATTAACGGGCCGGGCCAGCTGCTAAGATGCAACAATCAGCCGCTTCCGCTATTTTCGTACTTCAAACAATGAATAAACTATGCGACGATGTGTCTGCAATTAAGAAATTTACTAGAGATAGACTTGGCAATTGGGCAATATTTCGTGGTGATATTCGGAATTTGTGTTGCGTTGCACCAATTTTGTAGGGATCCCTTTTCTTATCGATAATAAAGGGTTGATATACAGCAACAACAATATCAAAATGTGCTATGAATATCCTAATGACGCCAAATTACGCCATATCCTCGCCATATATCGTCCAACAAAACACGAAAATTGCCTTCTGCAAGGTACACGATCGACAAATACCCAAATAATGTAATGATATATTTATTATTAAATGCAGTAATTGAAGCGTTTGAACGTTACTATTATGCTTAATCATCGGATAGAGTGGTTTCAGCTCGTTTATATTTGATGCAATATGGTAATGCCGCTTAAAATGACCGCAACACAATTGATAGGTATCTACCCAATGTGTTGTAGTTGTTGTTGTTGTTGTTGTTGTTGTTGTTGTTTTTTTCGTATCGTTCGTTCCTTTTTCACGTAATTACATCCATCGGATATATGTGACTAGTCGCGTGCAGTTTCGATTAACCACGAATACTGGGAATCAATTATCATACGTTACCAAAACAAAATACAATTGAAATGTTAAATGGCACAAGCCATATGCGCGTGAGCGCAACAACGACTTCAACACGTTATAATTTTAATATTAAATTTGTTAACAAACAAACCAAATTGCCTATTTATTAATTGATTTTTGTTTACATTTGTAGCTCATTTTTTTGTCGTTGTTCACCTTTTTTTTTAATTTTTATTTCGTCGCTAAATATTACGAGCGAAAAGGTATTTGGGCGAATGGAGGAGCACATTTTGGTTTTATGTTTCCACATTTTGCAGCTGGACTGAAGATGAAAACATAGACATAAACAGTGTTTTCACAAGATGAAGACATAAACAGAGTTCTTTAGTGTATTTTTAAGACAATATTTTTCGTGCTCAAACATCCAGATGAGCAAAATATTGGGAAATTACTGGTCCAGTGCAAGCTCTATGCCCATAGTGATATTTGCAACTTAAAGAAAGATTGATCGGTTAGCGTGAAAAATAGAAAAACCGAGATTTAAAACAGAAATTCTTATTTTACTGGATTGGATATATTAATTTATTCGGTTTCTTCATGGTTGCCATTGTCAACTTGCCAATGATATACACAATGATTCATAGTTCTAGTTGAATGACATTCCTGATTTATGACCACATTGCTGAGAATCTAATATTCGTTATCATATTCGAAACTTCATGTGCTCTTAAATAATCAAGAAGATTCTTGCAGATTAAAATTCATTCCGAACCAGACACAGAACACAAATGGCACTGATAGCAAATCCTCGTTTATTTGACCATTTAATTGAAAATGATAATTTTTTGATTTGATTCGTTGAACGAAATGTGGCTATCACAATCGAGTGTGATAGAAACAGTGTATTGATATTGTTTAATTAAAATTGACATCGGTTAAACTTGAATTAGTTTGAAATCGTGGTGATGCGTTCATGATTAACTCGTTTGTGCCTAGCGTTGCCATATGGCAACATAAAATGGTAGGTCTGTTATCAGTTGTGTAAAATTTTCCACATTTTTCATTTTGTTTTTAAATTTCTTTTTGCAGTCGTCTAGTGTTTTTCAGTGTGTTGGCGTATATTTTTATTTATTTCATTTTATTGAACACCGCCAAGCTCTGGCTGAATATAATGTGGGTTTTGTTAGAGGTTTGGCCGGAAAAGAGTGCAAGACTGTTACAATTTTTATAAATAATGAACAATAGTAGCAGTAACTTTCGATAACTTTCAGTTCTCGCCTCATTAAAAACCTGGCTCTTTTCGTAAATTATGAGGTAATCACAATAGTAGGAACATGAAAACGAAAGCAGTCATACAACCATACATACAAACATATAATTTCAAAATTTGGAAAAAATAATTTTTTCATTATTTTTTCCCACTAAATCGGTTTCAAATTTTTTGCTACCGAGGCCGCTCCTGGCCAAACTAGGCGTCAGACAAAAAAAAATGTCCATAATTTTTTTTGTTCCGAGGACCATGTAGAATATAAATATTAGTACTAAAATGAAAATGGAAACAAAAATTGTAATCGGGCACAAACGGGTTAATATCGAAGCACATGTTAAATAAATTCGGTGGTATATCGGTATTTATCAAATGTGCATTAGTTATCATTTTATTAGCTTCGTTCGATTGTGGTCCAGAGTCGGATTAGTTATCGATGTGTTAGAAGCTTTTTTCTCTATACGAATCGAAGTGATACGAAGACTTTTTAGCTTTGTCCTATTCATAATTTATTCGACAATATGACGACATTTATCCATCACAATGATTTCGTGAGAACGGATTGTTTTACGTGAAAATACGTCGAAAGTACAAAAAAGAACTCCTGAAATTGAATAAATTATCCGATCGAAATTTGTTCCAGCAATATGAATCTGAAGAAGGATCTTGTGTTGGGTGAAATGATTCGGAAGATCAGGTAATATAGGTCTGAAATATTCTTGGAATATCCGAAAATATTTCAAACATTGACCATTGAAGAACGTAACTCAATTTCCACTGTGGAAGTTCCACGTTAAAAAGACCACAACTCAACACATTTCACCTGCCCAAAAATTGAAAATCACAATAAGAAGCCAATAAGTAACTGAACAATCTTCGATGTTGAAGTTTTAAGTTTATGTTCTGAAATTATTTTGAAAAAAAAAATCGAAACCGCAATTAAAATTGACTTCAACTCATCAGGAATGTAATGAAATTGAACAAAGTAGAAGTGACATTTTCATTTATGCGACACACAAATAAATTGACAATAGTTTGAGAATTTCGAATCCATTCGCACTTCGGTTCGGCGCATATAGAGGGAAGGAGAGAAAAAGAACAGAAAAAATGCGCAAGGCAAAACCGAAGGAATGGGCAAAAAAAAAAGAAGTAAAAAAAATATTGTCGGTTTTTCGCTGGTTTTATCATCTTGATGTTGGTTCTTTTCACCAATTGCATGAAAGGGGGCGGTCCTTATTGTACATTACAACCGACAAACCTAAGCACTTCCACAATCTGCGCACGCTTGAAGCTTTTTCACAGCACATTACATACATTACGTTCGTGGTTAACATTCTAAGAAATTGCTTCAGACTACAAAATCATATACACGTCTAAATAAATAGATGAAAATCGTTTATATTGCCGTTTGTATATGTGCGTGTTGTTTGAAATCGCTAAAAACATTAAGCATATAATTGCCATTTAATTAACCGTTTTAGCAGGGTCCGTGAGTGTAACACAGGCTCATTGGCAATGTTTTGACTTTTTTTTATTTCCAAAAATTCTGTTAATAATGTTTCGATTATGATATAATAATTGAGTTTTCGTCTCATACCACAATCATCGTTAATTGATTGGCGGGAAGTGTTATATCCTTTCCTTTGCGCACAATTTACGTATCGTTTGAAAAAAAAAGTGAGCTAATTTGCATTTCATTTCGATATAATTTATCTGCGCGAATCCATTTTTAAAACAGAAAAAACAAACAAACATAAAAAAATAGTGTATAATTAATTTGCTGCTTAAAATATGATATAGTAGAATGATGATGGTTTGATGCGTAGACCAGTAGTAGCATAGTACATTGAAGTTTGGTAATGCCCTCCCCTCTTCATTCATTGGAAAGAGAATTTGTCAACGAACGTGCAGTAGCACATTAGAATCATGCACGTTGTTGTTTTTTTTTTCTTCTCTTCAGTGCTAGATTGATAGTCGCATGGATAGGATGCAAGCCAGTGCCAACAGTGTCCGTTAAGAATCATTTAATACAGCTATCGATGGCAAATAAATTGGCAAGTGATAAATTGATGCTTATGCCGAACTGAACGAGATTTATTGTGAATTTAATTGACAGTGATTGAAGTGATAGAGATAGATAGATAGAGAGAGAGAGAGAGAAAGAGAAAAAAACAGAACATTTTGGATTTTTTCATTGGATAATGTTCGATTTTTGAATGTAGTTTTTGTGTTTGGCATCGAATTTGTAAGAAAATAAATAAAAAAAGGAAATGGATCAGCCAGTTGAGTGTAATCAAGCGGCGGTTGAAGTAAGCCAACCGGCTGACTTATCTTTGACACGCATCCCAAAATGTCCAAAACCATTTTCAATTGAAAGTATTATAGCGACCAATGATAATAAAACACTAGACATTGAACGGGGTGTATCGCCAAATCATGAAAAAATCCCCAATTCCAGTGTCTATTTCCCGTCGAATGTTTCAATGGCTGCAGCAGCATCTCTGTATAATCCCTGGTTTCACAACTATTTTATGCAACAACAGAAAGCGGCTGGAAATGTCCTCGAAATGATGCAATTGAATCCGGCTAATCACAGTGTGATCAAAGAAAAATTCACCGAAATATTCGCAAACAATTCGTTAGCCGTAGAGAATCGACACTTTTTATCGGCAGCCGATCACGATCGAAATGCACTACCGATTGCATCACGATCAATAGAACAATATTTCGGCAGTGTGGATAATATCCACGAAATGCGATTCAACGAAATGATCTCCAATACAAATAATGACTATTATAAACATTTAAACTCGTATGGCATCAATCGTCTCAGTCAACCCAGTGATAATGGGGAACAATGTAACAGTCAATTAATAAATGGTGATGATCACAAAAGTGATAGAGACCGATTCGACGGACACATTAGTGATTATGAGAAAAGTGCACGGAATGATGACAGTGGGCCAGATGAAAATGTCGATGACGATGTGGATAGTGATTGCAATAGTGAAATTAGTTTGGATATGTCACCCGACGGCGACAACAATACACAAGGTATCACATTGTTGGGAAGAAGCATTTTCTCAGTGTGTTAACAAGAAAATTCTGTAATTTTTGAGTGTTTTTTTGATTACATTATAGAGCATGTCTTTATTGTACAGAAAACTAAAAACAAGTGTCGAATTTAAACATCATAATTTAATGAAAAATAGTTGATTTTGTAAAAATTCTATAAATATTGTAGTAAACAAAAATTGTTGAACAAAAGAAATGTTTCGAATCGAGAGACAAGATCACCAATGCATTTTTTTTTTGTAGAATGATTTAAATGACCGCAATCATTTGACAACTCATTAAACATTGCCAATCCATTCTAAAATGAATTGCAGATCAATTCGATAGTGACTGTTCGGGTGAGGATGCTGCCAATGGATCTGGTTCACATCGGACTGGGTCGAAGCATAATTCCAAATCGCGACGAAGACGAACCGCATTCACATCGGAGCAATTATTAGAATTGGAACGGGAATTCCATGCCAAAAAGTACCTAAGCCTTACCGAACGAAGTCAAATTGCAACGAGTCTTAAACTGAGCGAAGTTCAAGTAAATGCACACATTTTTTGCTGGAACAAATTTGCATTGCGTGTGACATTGAATTTCTAAGTGTGATTTTTCTTTTCTTTTGTCTTTCTTTTCCGATTTCCAACACTAAAGGTGAAAATTTGGTTTCAAAATCGTCGCGCGAAATGGAAAAGAGTTAAAGCGGGATTAACGTCGCATGGGATAAGCAGAAGTTCGGGTAATAATTCGGGTTCCACAAAAATTGTCGTACCAATACCGGTGCATGTGAACCGATTTGCAGTGAGATCACAGCATCAGCACATGGAAAAAATGGCATTGTCTGGTCCAAAACCAATCCTAGGAAAAAATATTGGCAGCAATAAATTTGAAAAAATCGGCGGCTTCGAACGATTCAATATTTTACAAAATTCACTAAAAAATGTGCAAACTACATAAAAGATAGTGTGTCTAACGATATCAAATTAAATTATTCAATTTGAAAACGAACCGACAAAGAAAAAAGTAATCGATATCTATTTTGTTTGTTTGGTTTTCAATTGACCTCGTTATAAAAATCATCAATTTTCAACACCAACGTTTTCTGTTTCCTTTGTCGATTGGCTGAACGGATACAAAATAGAGAAACAATTCCTTTGGTAGTGAGCATTAAAAAAAATGTCCAAACTCAGAGATACAGTCATTGGATGAGTGGATAAATGGAGTCATATCAATTGTAAATTATTTAGAACTTAATGGAATTCATCTGCCAAATTTTGTAGAATAATTTTTGACCTGCTGCAAACAGTGTGCTTGTGCCATATCAGAGCATTTCAAGCTGGCTAAAACGACGAAATAAACCACCGAACCATCAACGTTTCCGATATTTGTTTCTTTTTCGTGCACGATCTCAATATCTCAATATAAGAACACCACAACACTTTGATTTTTAGCAATTGCAGTAAATTCAAGTGAACCGAAATACACATTTATGTGTGAATATACAATACTCTTGTTTTCAAATCAGTATTTTTTTTCTCTCTGTGTTGATTCAAATGGATTTATATGCTATTTTACATAATTTCCCTTTATTTTGAAAATATTTCAACGTTGAGTTTTCTTGTCATGGAATTCGCTCCAACTTGAAATAAACGAAGAGATGATGATAACATTTTTTTTTGTCGGTTACAAAGCACCTCTTGGAACAAATTGTTTGCATGCGCAACAACACAAAAATTTTAATGTTTTCTTTCTTCTACCGTATTTTTAGTGAATATAATTTAAATTGTCATAAGTAATACTGAGAGAATAAAGCATAAAAATCACCACAACTGGAAAATTTTCGTGGAATTTCTGAGCTAAATCGTCACAATTTCTCTTTTTTTTCAGGATAGAAGGCTAGAAGAGACAAATAACTTTATTCCGTCTTCTTGTAATGGTGATTTCGTCGCAAAAATTGGCGAGAGAAAATTAATTCATTTTGTTGCCCCGCCAATATTGTGTGAAATCACTTTCAGCACACAAAATGCCCGTATAATTTGTTATCCATTATTCAAATGAAATGTTTATCGCATAATTCGTCGATAGAATTTTCAATTCACGCCGCAAAGAGCCGCTTAGAAATGGATATTTATTAATAAATTATGATTCTCACACGGTCAATTTTGTTTTTGGTCAAGGCTTAAAAACCAAAAATCGATGGTGCACACCATCGAAAGAAAATGATATTTTTGTCATCTCATAAATATTATTCGGCTTCTTGCGTTTGCCATTCGAATGTTCGTCTTGCCTTTTTTTCGGTATTATTCGTCCAACATTTCTGTGCACACAATGCATATTAAAATACAATTTATTTTTGGATGGTTGCGGATGACTTGAAGAGAGAATGTGAACTCTTAAGAATTTTCACATATGTCACTGTTCTGGTGACTCCGCTGCTGGGCGATAAATGTGTGGTGTGTGTTTACAAGAGAGTCAAATGTGTGTAAGCGTGCGTGCGTGCTTGCGCGCGTTCCTTTGATGCCATATAATTCATTCTGTTTGCTTTATGACACATTTGTGTGTACGAATGTGATGCACTATAAAAAGATTGCTCATTTAGAAAAGAGAGAGAGAGAGAGAGAGAGAGAGAGAGAGAGAGAGAGAGAGAGAAGGGACCGAGAGAGAGAAAGAGTATGGCAAACAAAACACTTTTTGTTGATATGTTTGGAGGCGTGTCAGAAACATAACAAATTGCTGTTCGCTTACATATGTCCGCGTTTGAGCAATTTGCTTCTGTTAATATTGGTTTCAAGATTGCATTGTGAGCATACCCGTTATTATTATTATTATTTAGCGACGACTTTAGCCACTCTCTCTCTCTCTCTCTCTGCCTGCCTGTTCGCAAAGGGGAGAGAGAAACTGAGTCCAAATTTCCAAGTAATCGAATAAACAATAATTACAAGGGAATTGATACCTACTAAAATTATATGCAGTACACACTGCTCATAAGCCCGGGTGATTTGCTTGGTTTTTCGATTATTTACTTGTAATTTATGCCATTAAGAGAATCCCACAATCCCACTGGCCGAATAATAAGTTGACTGTGTACAATTTGCGACAATCATTTGCAGTGTCTAACCGAAATCCGTTCCTCTCTATTGAATCTATTGAATGTTGAGCAGCAGAACAATAGACAGAAAAAAAATCATAAATAAATAATACCCCAATTTACATTGGTAATTCTCATTCTCATTTACGCATCCAATTGACGTTTGTTCATTTAACGGGATGTTAAGGGATGCCAGTGTTACAATGAATATCTGCCTTTTTTCACTTATTCTCCCTCTCCCTCTCTCTCTCTCTCTCTCTCTCTCTCTCTCTCTCTCTCTCTCTCTC